ATACACACAACAGAAACGGAAAGAAATGTAGTTAAAGGCAGGTATGATATAAGGGATAACCAAAGAATTAAGTACTTCTACGTGTACATCAACAATCTGTGCACAGCCGACTCTGGAACGTACTGGTGTGGCTCTGAGAGAAAAGGGCACCCTGCTACTTACACCAAAATCCACCTTTCTGTTGGTAAGTACTCTGTGAACATTAGTATTATAGACCATAACACTAACCCAGATTCTTGATTTTGTACCAAGTAAAATCATTTGATCAAAACACGTTTGTTCCGGAGATACTTGTATTTCACTTGAGTATTTCATACTCACATACCTACCCTACATTTATTCACAGCTGTGATTACTTTTCAAATTACAATTGAACATACTAAACACACTTTATTTACTTCTTTATTTCTTTTGTTGGTTCCCACACAGTGGTCGCTAGTCTTCCTGGGGTTCACACACAAAAACAACAAACAAAACAAACAATATAATCACAAACTGTTACAGATAAAACTGCCAGTAGAGGATTAATATTAGAAATTTGAATCAGGAGTGAGTGACCATAAATAGTATCAAAAATGGAGTTTGTGTCATGAAAATCTTAAAATAATATATTCAAATATAACATTTTACATGGGCCATTCTGCTTCATAGCACCTTTATGCTCTCATACTTTTGATACTTTGCTTCACTTAAGTAAGGGTTTGACTGCAGGACTTTTATTTGGAAAGGACAATTTTTTTCTGTATTGCTAATTTTACTTAATTACTCTGAGTACTTCTTCCACAAATAATGAGAGAAAGACCTAAAACCAGGAACCCAGGAACATGAAGTTAAGTAAATGGTGGACGGAGTGAGACAAGCTTCCTGCATTAAAAACATCTGTCATCAACAAATGTGTGTGTGTGTGTGTGTGTGTGTGTGTGTGTGTGTGTGTTTCTTTTTCATGTATGCATTCATTTACTTTATGCCTTTCTTCACTTCCCTAACTTCTAGCTTTTCACTCTTCTCCCCACAGCTGACACACCCACAAAACAAAACAAAACCAGAACCTGCCTTTCAACTCAGCCAACAACAACAGCAACACCTGTTGAAACAAACTTCCATGATGGCTATTCAAACTCTGGTGACCTTATCACTTTGCTGATCATTCATATCACAAACACACGCTAAACACATCCTCCTCTTTAAGCATGAATCCTGAGGACAATGACACAATGAAACTCTGCTGACTGCATGTATTCCTCAAATGTCCCTGCTGTTGTCTCTCAGTTGCAGGTGTGATTGGCCCGGCGGTAGCGTGTGTGGCAATGGCAGTGGTAGTTGTGATTGTACTAATCCTGTACAGACACAAACTCCTCCCCAGGACACAAGGTGAGGGATGGAAATGTGGCGTCAATGCTAGCATGCAAAACCCCATAACTACCCAGGGGGACACAAGACAAGAAGAGCAAACATAGAAATACATGAAGTACGTTTGCTCTTCTGGTCTTGAGTTCCCCTTTGACATGCAAAAACATTGTTCGTGGCCAATCAAAGTAAAGTTCATTACAGGTAACATCTGATTACGAAACAGATCTACTGAGTGACTGAATGAAGGCGGCAAAGATTTTTCAGTCTGAAGTGAAACGTTTACCTTGCACATGATTTTCAGTGTGAGGCGTAACTCTGAATGCAGATACAGAAATATCCTTTTCGTTTACATCTAAGCAATTTTTTTTTTTTTTTTATCTTCGCATGTTGTGCTTCAGGGGGATCATCAGAGCTGAGGATGAACGATGGACAAAACACAGAGGTGTGTGCCTGTGTCTGTTTCTGTGTTTATAAGTTTGCATATGTCTAAAGCACCTGCATCTGTCACAGCGCTCACCTTCTCCTCCCCAGGGAAATCATGGAGATCATGATTATGAGGAGGTACAGGAGTGGAACCCTCCCACAGACCAGCTCCACTATTCCAGTATAAACTTCAAGAGTGACTCTGTCACAGTGTCAACAGATCGAAACACACTTCCCGACGCAGATAAAAATGGCTCCTCGGTCTGTGACTACTCCTCTATCAGTAGGACTCCTCTCTATTCTACATGCACAATGCCTGGGGAAGCGTGATATAGTCACTCTTTTAATGTTTGTTTCCAGTGGAACATGCGGTGAAGGATTTACATTTTTTCCTAAAGGGAAATGGTCATCAGCTTTCAATTTATCACTTAAGCATGACTCAGTATGAACTGTTGTTTGGCACAATTTAGAGTTAGCTATAGCTTACATGTAATATGTTTGTGTAACTAATAATGTGACATATAAATATAAGAATATTGCCTTAATGTGCTCTGAATATAATCAATACGAATCCTGCTTAATGCTCTACTTTCCTTATTGAGGCACAGAAATGTAATAAGTGACATAAAGTAATCAGACACTTGGGTAATGGTGTGCCACTTTACCACAAAAATAAACACTGTAAAGGAGGAAGTTGCTGCTTATTGGTTTCATTTCAGCAGCTGATTCAGAGTCAGTAGATTGATGCTGATCATTATGTAACTAAGTTATAACTTAGATCAAACTTATCTTTTTCTTCAATAACTGATCATTATAAAGTATAATAGGCTATATTTGTGGAAATTCAGTTGATGATTTATTAATTAGAAATAGTTCCTGATTTCCCCACTTACTTTTTCATTGGTAACTACCCACAATACCTTGTAAAGCATCATTGAATTGTGTTTACTACTTTTTCAATATTCAAGTATCCAAAAAGTTTAATCGCAGTATCTGATTAAATAATAAAAGGTTGTGAAGCAGACACAAACTTGATACTTCACACTAGCGTAGGATCAGTTGGTCAATAAACCACCACCGTAAATCTGCATACACCTGGTCTGTCTTCATTACATTTCACAGGCAGTCAAACATCATTTCTATTCGCATCTTTTTCTGTAAAACATATTAATGTTGTTGCAACTGTTATGAACTTTTCAGTGAGGAAATATAATGTGATACTGAATTATAAAAATGACAAAAGTGCAGTTTCATTATTCTGACTGAAGCACTTTGTTGTGATTGCGGCACATTCAGTTGAAACTCATGGGTGTTGAACAGCCTTAACTTTGTATACGGGATATTTGTTATCAAATTCTTGAATAGAGGGTTTTCAACTGATTATGATCCAGGCACCGCCATTCAAGCTGGGGACCGCTGGTGTGGGGTGTGAGAAAATGGGTTGAGATGAGTTTTTTTTTTCCTTACCTGTTACACAGACACTTTTGATACTGTTGATTTTCACCAAGACTTTCAATAAAGCTTATCATTGGTCAGTAAACTAATATTTTTGTCAGCGAATCTGTACATTATGAGTATGGATGTCATGTCAACATTAGCACAACACAGGATACAGAGGATAAGCCAGACGGGCACTAACCTATTTTAATCCTGAAAATCTCCTTGGCTTTTCTAAGTTTTATATATTTACATGAATTTGATTATTCACAAACAATAATTAATACATGGAAATGTGTTTAAACTATTTACTTAAATAAAAAATAGTCAAACTACATTATTGAATGCATGGTCAGGGACTGTAATACCTGCACAGCCCACCAGGGGGCCAGTTGAAGCCCCTTGAAATACAGTAAATCTTGCAATATGAGAGTGTCTTGTTCTGCTCCGCAGCTCCCTCTTGTGGCTGATGTAGTGATCAGGCAGTAATTGGCCGGAGCTCTCATATTCATTGGCATCCACTGTACCCTCTACCTGACACTGAGAAAGCAGCGTTTTGCCCTTTCACATTTGCATTTCATGTGTGTCTGCTCCATGGAAATTAAATGATGAAAGGTTTAGAAGAGGCGTTGCTGGTTTATTGCCAGAAATACAGATACAAAGACAATACAGTGTTGTTTGTTTTAGTCAGACCAGCTCACATACAAGCCTCGGGTGTAAGGCAGAGGGAGACGAGTTTCCTGGTCGAGATCAGGGCACCCTGCTGCTCACACTGTATCTCCTCATTTAAAGCAAGAAAGGGAATTTAACCCGAACTACTCGAATGAGCACCCCAGTGCTGACTGCGCAGAACAACTCAATCCATGTCACATAAAGTAATGAAAGTAAAACAAAACAAGGGAACTGAAGAACATTAGGGGAAAGGTTGAAAGAGTGAATTCTGACAACTAACTAAAACTGTAAAACTGTAACTTAATATTTTGATTCTAACGTCACATGGTGAAGCCTCATTTGGGGCAAAAAAAAAATCCAGCAGTTTACACCTTGTATGTGTCTAGTAACTACTTTATTTACTTATTTACTGACTAAACTAAAGGTGAAGTACACATTTTATCTTTCCTGTCACTGTATGCATCTACCACCATGTTAACACTCATGTCCTGTTTATAAGTCTGCACAGTGTCTATCCAATAAATCAATTTAATATATTGTGAAAAACAAAAGGTGTAAGTTCTTCTGTACAAGCCCAATATAAAGGCAATTGTTATGTTTGCATTAAAAGCGAACAGCTTCTTACTAATGATAAAATAAACATGGTAAATAAGAAACATTGGCTTGTATGTGACAAAAGTCTGTTTTCTCGCTCTAATGAGTAAGTAAACTTTATTTCCCTATAGAACATTTACACGGTGACATTGAGTTTCATCGTGTCATTGTCCTTGTGATTCATTGCAGATGCACATAAAGTACAATATTATGAAATACAACAAGAATGTCAGGGAACTTGTAACTAGAACTTATTTTGTTCTTGGTAGTCTGTAAACCAGGTAGGCCAGAGTGAAGCCAATTTAAATGTGTTGAAGGCAAATTTTTTGTAAGTGGCTCTCTTCTTTCCTTCTTTGTCAGTGTATGTCCAAAAACGACTGCTTTGTAAAAAAAAAAAAAGGGAAAAAAAGATGACATGTACTTGTGCTTTGACAGACGTCCCAGCTGACCAATGACTGAGCAAAGTGACGCTCGAGGCGGAGCCACAATCTCCGGCGGAGGCTGGGTGTCGCCTGACCGGATGATGACAGAAGTTTTCAGTCTAATGTGTCCACTTTTATCATGCAATCACCCCGTTTATAACCTCTCCGGGGATCTGGCCGCTGTCAGGACAACTGACTCTTAACCTACTTGTGTTTTAATGAAATAAAGTCACAGGCACTGTGACAGTCTGCATTGCCATCTGGGAACTTTTGCTTTGCTGTCGGAGCGACCCTTTGCCTCTTATTTGACCGGGGAGAAGAGCAGGATAAAGCCCGCTGGGCTGACCGAAGTGCCGCAATGGGAAACCGGGGGATGGAAGACCTCATTCCCCTCATCAACAAGCTCCAGGACGCTTTCAGCTCCATCGGCCAGAGCTGCAACTTGGACCTGCCGCAGATAGCGGTCGTTGGCGGCCAGAGCGCAGGGAAGAGCTCCGTGCTGGAGAATTTCGTTGGAAGGTTGTACTGTTCATATGTAGCCTTGGATTCATCTGATACAGTGAATGTGAATTTTTCTTAGTTTGCGACTGGGTTTGTTCTTTTGATACAAACTAAGCCTTTGCGTCAAAGTCGCCAACTAAGCACTTGGTTACGCGCTGTCTGTGTTGGTGCCTCCCAGTTCCTAATGTTTTTTTTTTTCCAGCGAATTCTTTCCATTTTGGAGTTGAGTTATTCACGATCGACAATTACGCATTTTACGCAGAAAACAGCTGTTGATTGAGAGACAAAAACTGTGGAGGAACTGTTTTAAAAAGCGTTTCAAACAAACTGGCGATCCATATCCTGAATGTACGCAGTTAAAATGTTATTTCCTCAGCAGATATATTAACATTCATCTGTGTGCTCAGTGCTTCATATTAGGCCTATTCTGTCAAACATTGACAAAGGCTGTTTTTCCTTGAGATTGCTTACCCAGTGTTGTAAATAGCCTGCGTCTTTATGGGCCTCACATTACATAGGTCAGGTCAATGTTTTACTTTAAAGGGTGAGGTACAAAACGGTTGGTTGGCAGGTTTGATAAGGTCATTGTCAGATAAAGGAATTACCGGAGAGTTACACTGACAGTAAAAATGAAAATGGCAGGAGTCTGCACTCCCAGCATGCGAAAACTGCTGAATGTCTGTGTGAGGTTGATGAATGAGTTCGAAGGAATTTCAATGAGCAGTTGTGGATCCATCTTGATGACAAATAGCAGCAAACCAACATTAATGCCATATGCTAGGCTCAGTCTGCCCAGTTTATAACAATGTGGGAAGGAATCGCTTTGGCAGTTTTGAAGTCAAAACATATCACACAAAGTTTAGGATGAAATGGGGCCATGAGGAAAGGGAAGGGGAAGAAGGCAAGGCTTTGCTGCTGCAGTACAGGCCTAATCTTCTGAAGATAGCTGCAGCAGCTTTGTGTTTTTGTCTCTAAGTGAAGGTATCCAGAAATGAGAACACTTTACTCGTCTACATGTCAGAATGATTTCGCTTGTTGTCAGAAAGATAGAGAATGTCGATTAGACGGCCACGTCTCCTTTTCTTCCTGTTGCCTTTTGTCTCCAAGTCCCAAGCAGTGGCTGGGGGAGACAGTAGGGGCATTGATGTGTTTGTGCTGGGGTCATCAGTGATGTCACCAGCTGCACTGTCATGTGTATATGACACACTGGGTACCAGATACCCACAGAAGGGTTTTCATGTTTGTTAATTAGCCCACTGACATGCAGAAGTGTAACGCTGCCTGTGACACCATATTTTCAGTTCGTTTTAGTCAGTCAAGGCTACAACAAACAATTATTTCCTTTACACAGTGAATTTTATTTTTTTCTACTCAATAGCGTAGACCAGTGTTTTCCAGTCTGGGGGTGGGGACCCTTCTAATGGGGCACAAGATTAATTTGTGGGGTCAAAGAGGAGATTAATACGACACAATATATGGGGGAAACATTAAGACATTTTTTTGTTGTCACTGCTTTTTTGTGAAATACTTTATGTAATATGTTTATGTATTTTATGCCTCTAAAAATTATTCAAATGAAACAAACTGAAAAGAAAGTCATTCTGTGTTGAAGAGTCACAAGCAGACAAGCCTTAATTTTAAGCCGTCACAAGCTAAGGAGGCTGGGAGTGACTCCTCTTCTGATTGTTTAGTTTATGAAAAATCAAAAAACAAAAAAAAAAAACCCTGAAAATGTTTTGTTTTTGTTTGTTTTGTCATTCAAAATGATTGATGTTTGGTTCTCAGTGATTCAAATCAGAAAACATTACAAGTTACATTTAAGAAGCTGGAACCAGATGATATAAAAGACCGAAACAAATCATAATCACAATTGTTGTGGATTAATTTTTCTGTAGATGGACTGATTGATTCAGTAATTGTTTCAGCTCCAGTAGGGAACCACTGATTTAGAGTATAAAAGTCAAAAAGAAATTGACAGGAAGAGTCCAAACTAACGTCAGACCAACAGCACAAAAGTATTCAAAAAAGGAAATCATAGTATTTGTGTTGTGGTTTGATAAGTGACAGGAAGAGATGAGGAAAGAGGATGGGATTCACAGTTGTGTAACATCCTGAGTGCTCTGTCAGCAGTGGACAGCAGGCACAGGGTGTGCATATGTGCTCAAATAAATGTGTGTGTGTGTGTGTGTGGCCTGGTTACCTTACCTTACGTTAAAACATGACTCTGTCTTTGCCTCTGACCTGGTAAACACACAGGCAGAAAGACAGACAGACACGGACATATTCTCATGGCTTGGAGAGATGTGTAGTCAGTGACCTGGAAATGATCACTATTCTATTGAACAGGAGTTTCCATTCTCATGAACGTGTATGTAATGAGAAGGGCAAACAGAGGCAGAGACGTTTCTCTCTCTTTGCACTATTTATAATGGATAGGGTTGTAAGTCGATCCTGGCCTTGTATCAATAATGCAGCCACTCAGACAGAGGCCTGCACATGTAGTTAAAATTAAAGAGCAAATTTAGAGATTGAACTCTTATTTTGGTAGAAGCAGACATGACATAATTTGAAAATGAAACGCTCATGCGCTTGTGCTCCAGTTCCAGTTTGTATTTATTTGTAACAAGCATCATGTTGCAGTATAATTAATCAAGGGATAATGTTCTGACTGTATTTTAAAATTTTATTTGACATACTGTTGTGACACATGTCGGCCAGCCAAACAGCCATTCGCCTGTCAGTATCTTTTCCCCTAAGCTGTGTATGGGTGTGTGTTAAACTTTGCCTATGTCTCCTCCTCAGGGACTTTTTGCCTAGAGGATCTGGCATTGTCACCCGTCGTCCCCTCATCCTCCAGCTGGTTAACAGTAAAGCAGGCGAGTATGAGTCAAGCAGTTGGGAAAGACTTTGAACTCCAGGCTTTCCAAGAAATAGAGTCAAGTGTGTGTAGCCAGAATCAGCAGTCATATCGAGTAGAAAACTAATGAAACTTAGTAATGAAAAAAAGAATCTGTTTCTGCCGTGTGCAGCAGGTAACAAAATGTGGCAAAAACTAAATAGTGAATGTTTTGGTCATTTCATAGGATGATCATCGGCACAACTTACAGACCCTGTAGTTGTTGTATACTATGCAAATGTACACATGAACGTTTGTGTAGCTGCCAGACATGCGCAGTGTACACTTGTTTCTATATTCATCTCCTGTCCATCACCCTCTGTCCTGTCTAAATCTCTATGCAGAGTATGCAGAGTTCCTGCACTGTAAGGGTCGCAAGTTTGTGGACTTTGATGAAGTCCGTCTGGAGATTGAAGCAGAGACCGACCGCCTCACTGGATCCAACAAGGGCATCTCGCCCATCCCCATCAACCTCCGTGTCTACTCACCCAATGGTAACACACACACACACACACACACACACACACACACATACATACATACAAACTTGCTGTTTTCACCTTCTTTGTAACTGAGTCCTTCCTTCTTTCTCAACAACCCATCAACATCTGTCAGTGCTGAATCTGACCTTGATCGACCTGCCGGGGATGACCAAAGTGGCAGTGGGAGACCAGCCTCCGGACATCGAGCACCAGATCAGAGACATGCTGCTCCAGTTCATCACCAAGGAGAGCTGTCTGATCCTCGCCGTCACCCCAGCCAACACTGACCTGGCCAACTCTGACGCCCTCAAAATAGCCAAGGAGGTGGACCCTCAGGGTAAGGAGAAGTGTGTGTGTGTGTGTGTGAGTGTGTGAGAGACGTTGAAAAATGCATATCCTTGTTTGGAGGATCATGTAAATCTGTATGTTTTTTGCTACCTTTTTTATTGGTATTTCTCCCAAGTGTAACCATTTTTTGCTTTAATTTGGCACAAAGCTAATTACCCTTTGCTGTATCTTGCAGCCATTAGCTCTCTTCTTCATTCTATTAATCTTTGCCTCAGTGCAGGCGACGGCTCATCATAATAATTAAGAATTACATTATTAAAAGACTTCCTGGCAGCATAGATGTATTGAATAAGATTAGCAGAGATATAATTAAATTTAATTATCTCTCCCTTTTGCCCTCTCTCATTCAATCCAGAGGATCTTATTAAGCGTTTCAAGGTACAGGCTTATAACTGTATCTTAACTGATAATCAGCTACTGACCAACAGTTTTACTGCCGTTGTACTAAATTGTCATGTCACACTTTGTAAACAGGAAGTTGACCATGTCCACCTTCACCTTAAGTGTGCTTATGTCCATGATATGGTTTACGCAAGTGACTTTATGCATGTTTACTACTTTATTTTTACTCACTTTGTTGCTAGCATGTAAGCGTTTGGTTACTTATGCTAGTGGCTGTTAGTACCTCTCAGGATGAATTGTATTAACTTTGGTATTCAGTAATATCATGTGATTAAATTATCAGTGTAAATCCTATACTCCCTCTTCCATGTGTGAATAGTATCACATCATTATTAACAATGACACCTTCTTCTTTAGGTCTGCGGACTATTGGTGTGATCACCAAGCTGGACCTGATGGACGAAGGGACGGATGCACGAGACATCCTGGAAAACAAACTACTGCCACTGCGCAGAGGTGAGACCAATCACTCATTTTAGAAGCTTTATTTAAACCCAATAACTGTACAAAATTGTCAAATATTTACAGACAATATATTTTTGCTTCTGTTGAAATCACTATCACAGACCCACAGTTATATCCCAAAACACAGATATTTGCAACAAACAACTGATACTCAGATATTTTATCAGACACACACACATGCGGCACAAATGTCGGCGACATATAATGTGATGTGTTTGTTCTTTAATACTACACATTGGCTTTGAAATTTAAAAGTTACAAAGATTAAAGTGATTCTCAATTATTTACTTTCATTGTGTTTCCATCCACATCACACAAACAGCCCTTCTTATACACAGATCCCCAGTTTTAAGGGGCAAAAAAAGCAACAGTTACCATTAACTTAAAATCACTATTTAATATTGGAAGCTCTTCCAGGCCTGTACTGTGGCTGCTTTCACTTCTTGCTTGTTTTTGGGGCATTTTGCCTTCAGTCTGGACATCAGTAGGGTTTTTTTCATTATGCTATTTGTCTGTATTTTTCTTAAGGTTACATCGGGGTGGTGAACCGCAGTCAAAAGGACATTGATGGGAAGAAGGACATCGGTGCTGCTTTGGCTGCTGAGAGGAAGTTCTTCCTGTCCCATCCTGCCTACAGGCACATTGCAGAGCGCATGGGCACACCACACCTGCAGAAGACCCTCAATCAGGTGAGACACACAACTGATCACACAGGCACACAGTGTATGTCCTTTAGATGCACTTTATGTGGATAAGCTCACAGTGTATGATAGGATAAATAAACATTTCTAAAATTAAAGATTAAAGTTTAATTTTGTGACTAATTTCTAGAGATATAAATATTTTCTCTGGTATATTTTCATTTGTGCTTCATTTGCTGCACTGAACTTAATTACATTAGTTAATTTAATAAGTGAGGGAATTCGTTAATTGAGGTACATAAGTTAATTTAATAAGTGAGTGCAGATGCTTTAATCTAATAGGAGAATGGACTTTTCTTTTGAATTTCATGACAGGTTTTAAACTATGTACAAAAAAAAAAACTGATTAATATTTTGTTCAGCACAGTTTTCCCATATAAAAAGTAAAAGAAAAAATAACTGAAAAAGAGCTGGAAGCAAATCTACGTTTACTTCCTCAATGAGAAATTCAAGATCAGATGATTAGCGGGGGACAATAGCATCAGAAAGACTCAGTCAGACCCAGACTCATATTAGGAGTCTGTTATTCACCAGCTAACAGATGTAATGTAAAATCTTGTGCTCTGTACTGACAAGGTTTCGGATTTCTTTTGTGTCATATAAGAAACGCCTTATGGAAATGTTAACAAGGTTAAAATCACAATTTTCATTTTTAATTTTTGTCCACATATTATTATTATTATGACTTTAATTATTTTTATACCTTTTATTTTTTTTCTCCAGCAACTTACCAACCACATCCGCGACACGTTGCCAGGGTTACGCAGCAAGCTGCAAAGCCAGATGTTATCGCTGGAGAAAGAGGTGGATGAGTACAAGAACTTCCGCGCTGACGACCCCGCACGCAAGACCAAAGCCTTACTTCAGTCAGTACATACACCAGATTCAGGCGCACGAATACATGAATTCAAGAAGTGAAGACGTTTCCCTTGTACTCTGTCAAATCTACAGGATGGTGCAGCAGTTTGGTGTTGACTTTGAGAAGTGCATTGAGGGCTCTGGAGATCAGGTGGACACCTCCAACCTGTCAGGTGGAGCCAAGATCAACCGCATCTTTCACGAGCGTTTTCCCTTCGAGCTGGTGAAGGTGACTATTGCTATGATTTTATTATCATTATGACTTATAGGTTTTATTAATCACATTTAAGTCACATAGTTTTATATTTGTCATTTCATTTGGCAGATACGTGGAGGGATTGTTTCTCTTTTCTACATCAGACTGCATTTACAGTCTGATGTAGAAATTTGTATAATACTGATGTCATAGTGTAGCTATGTTGCCTCAGCTCTCATAAATCCAGTGCTAGGAAAAGGCACACAGATCCACAGACAATTCCTCTTGTCTGGCTTTATGTTTGTTTGTATGTCAGCATAATGCCTGGCACTAAAAAAGTCGCATTAATTTTACACAGAGCAAGTAAATATAAGCCTTTGTTGTACTGTGTCTTAGATGGAGTTTGATGAGAAGGAGCTGAGGAAAGAGATCAGTTATGCCATCAAGAACATCCACGGAGTCAGGCAAGTTGAGACAAACAAACAGAACGTTTGTCTGCTGACCTGTCCATCAGCTTTTTGTTTGTTTCCATTCAGCTTCATAAAGACCTTCAGTCTTGTCTGTCCTCAAGTGTCAGTGTGTGTCCTGTTTTTCCATGTCATGTGTTAAGTGTGCCGGCCAGTCCGTCTGTCTTTGCTTTCTTTTATCTATGACCACTTTTTCTTTATTCCTCCTGCCTGCTGTCCGTCTTCCACTCCACTTCCTTCAGTGTTTCCTCCACCTCAGCGTCTGTCTACTCATGTCTTCCCTGTCTGCGTGCCTGTCTCACACTCTTCCTGTCTGTCTTTCTGTCCCCCTCTCCTGCTCCATGTCTCCATGTCTGTCTTGTCTGTATGTCCTTCAGGACAGGCCTGTTCACCCCAGACCTGGCGTTTGAGGCCATAGTGAAAAAGCAGATCATTAAGCTGAAAGAACCCTGTCTGAAATGCATCGACCTGGTCATCCAGGAGCTCATCAACACAGTCAGACAGTGCACCAATAAGGTATCACTGCATGGTCTCCTGCCTGGCTGCCTCACCCGTTTATACACACCACAGAGACCGGCCAACTTTAGTGCTGCCAGGGGCCATTTTGGTGCCACACAGTTATATAAAGTGCACAGTTTTTTTTTAATTTTTTTTAGCTATGCATTGAAAAATAATGTGGATGAATTCAAACAGATGGCTTTGTTTTTTGAGCCCTGCTTTTGAAGTTTGCTTGATCAGAAGGTAAAGTCGACTGTCCTGGCTGTACTAGGGTGGTGTCTCTGAGAGGCTGTGTGGTCAGAAGCAGACAGGCTGTTACACATTGCTGTAAAAGTTCATTGCAAAACAAGCTGCAGACTTTTAGGCTATAGCTTAAACAAGAGTCTATAGCCATGCTAGCTGCACTATGAGGCTATTACATTACATTTACTCATTTGGCAGACACTTGTATCCAAAGCGACCTTTTAAGTGAGGGACAACACTAAAGCTTCAGTGCAGTAGGAGACCTTGGTGTGAGTATTCAATACTAAATCTATTCAATAACGCAAAGTGCAAGAAGATCAGGTAAAGAAGTGCATAGAAAGTACAGTAATGTCAACATGCAAACATGCTGATGTTCAGCAGGTTAAAACTTTATCATGTTCACCATCTTTGTTTAGCGTGTTAGCATTTGCTATTGAGCACTGAACACAAGTAAACAAGTAATCAAATTGAAAATCCTGACAAGATGGTGGCAATAGAAGAAAAGTTAAAGAAGCAACTAAGTCATTAGGATTCATCATCTGGGATCCAAGAACGTTAGAAAAACATTTCATGACAATCTGTCCAGCTGTCGTTGTTGAGATTTTTCTTTCTGGTCCAAAGTGGTGGACTGACCATTCATAGATTCACACCACTAGCATGGCTCAAAAGCTGTAGGCTGACTCTTAACATACTTAACTGCAATGACCGTGTTTGAGAAGCTGCAGCTTGTTTCTGTTCTGAACATGAAGTAGAACTAACCAAATGCCTGTTTTTTTTTTTTTTTCTTTTCATATTCCTCATCTTCATCTTTCTTTTTCCCTCTTGAAACCTTTTCTGTTTCTCCAAACTATCCCATCCAACCTTGGCTTCCATTTTCCTACCACTGTTCCCTTTTTCCTCACCATGGCCCATGCTGCACCGCCTTCCTCCTTCACCTGACATTAAACATCCAACTCCCATGATGCCTCACCACAGGACAGGCCTGTTCACCCCTGACTTGGCGTTTGAGGCTATAGTGAAAAAGCAGGTCATTAAGCTGAAAGACCCCTGTCTGAAATGCGTTGACCTCGTCGTCACCGAGCTTGTCGCCCTGATCAGGAAGTGCACGGAAAAGGTAAACAGGAACAGTGGAGAGACAGGTTTTAAAAGAAAAGTGATGAATAAAGACAGAGACAGACAGAGAGTGAAGGGGAAAACAGTTGCAAGCAAGGAGCAGAGAGTCAAAGGAAGAAAAAGAGACAAAAATCAAATGAACTAACTTGTCTTTGTCTAGTGTTGTTGATCGTTACCCCTCCCCGCTGCTTCAAGGCTTCACTCAGCACCCACCTCGCCCTGTGGTTCCCTCTTAAATGACAAATCTAGGAGACCTTCCCCATTCTGATCCCGGACCCCTACCAGTCCACTTACCCCATCGGCACTGAGATCTGTGATTTAACAACCCCTCACCCTGCTTCACTTATTAAATCAGATCCCCACTCTCACACCAGGATATTTGGCTGATTAGAAATGGCACAACCGTGGCTGTTTTTCACCCTGTCTTGTCAATGGACATTTGTATGTATTTTTCCTGTGACACACCCTTATCTGCACCATTGACACCGATAAGAAATCCCCAACAAGACTCCACCAGACCCTACCTTAATCTTCACCTCTCTCCGGACTTTAACCTGATTTTTCTCCTAATCCCACCCTGATTTGCTGAGACTCGCTAACAGCTTGAGAACACAACATGCTAATGCTGACTTTACACTTGTAACAGCCTCGGCTGTATGACAACATCTGCAGCTGACAAGAAATCTCAAGCTGATAGGGAACTCATTAGTGCATGCTTCCTCAGTCTTTTATGTGTCAAATGTCTTGCCTTGCCTGTTTTTGTTTATACCGTATATTTACTGACAGTGGATGGATGTAACTGCTTATGTGGATACACAGTGTGTTTACAGTGTTGTGTAAGCGTGCGGGCGGTAGTCGTGTATCGTGTAATCGCGGTGTCTGCAGCGGCGTATTTGTGTGTGTTCTGTGTGTGTGTGTCTATAGCTGGGCTCGTACCCACGACTGAGAGAAGAGACAGAGAAAATCGTCACCACCTACATCAGAGAGCGAGACAGCAAGACCAAAGACCAGGTGTGTGTGTGTGTGTGTGTGTGTGTGTGTGTGTGTGTGTGTGTGTGAGACAGCAGTAGGAATGCACTCTACCTGTACATTTGTACAGTTAACACATGCCATGTTTTGCCCGTCAGGTGCTGCTGCTGATTGACATTGAGCTCTCTTACATCAACACTAACCATGAGGACTTCATCGGATTTGCCAAGTAAGACATAGCTACAGATGCTGATCAGTGAGTTTCATTAGGATCAGCAGAGATGGAGGTCTGCCTGTAAATGTTCTGTGTCCCATGCTCTTTGACATAAGTCAGTTAATACTTAGGGAATCAAAAGAAAAATCAAAGGTGGGGACGGTTATGGTTTCTATCAGAAATTGTTGAAATATTTTGCAGCGCCCGGAAGAAACACCGTCACTAAACCTCAACTGACACTGGACTGATATTGGAGAACATTATATCATCTATGAAAAAGACACTTGTCAGTGCTCTCTGGTGGCCACACTTTGTAATTACGTTACTGTTTCTAAATTATCTCAAAAATATCCTTTGCATTTCTGCACTGCTGAAACTTGTTAGTCAATGGTGGACGCATACATCGACAAGTATGCAGTATATCTTCAGTAATCTAATATGAGGATCTTACCAGCACTGTTTGTAATGCAAACTCAAAATTCCTGAGAAAGCAAGAATTTGCAGAAGCGTTGTGCAACTGCACAACTGTAAATATGAATTATAACATGGTTTTGTCAGGCTATTCCTTCATCCTTGTTTTCCTTTGCCCTGCTTTGAATATGTTTCTTAGACCAGAGTTGATGTTGTTGAATCTCTCTCCTGCAGTGCCCAGCAAAGGACTGCTGCTAACGCTACCAAGAAGAGAGTCATGCCTAATCAGGTAATTAAACAGACACTCTATCCAGGCCACAGAAATCCTTCACACCACTGCAGAACCACAGAAGCTGCATTCTCCTGCTGTTTTTTTTTTTCTTTCTTTATCTTTATTTCTTGTTCTTTCTGTCGTTGTCTCAGCCCATCTGACAGCGCATGTCATTGTTGCCCTTTGTTGCTTCACATTTACACATTTACATCCTCTTGTCTGTGCCCCTCTTGTCTCTTCCCTTTATTTCCCTTTCCTCTTTCTCCTCTTCTGTTCCTCCTTTTTATGGCCCAGGGAGAGATTCTTGTAAGTACCGTACCCCATGCACCTCCACTTGTCACTTCCTCTTTGGGTGGGTGGGGGAGTCAACGGTCATTCAGACCATGTCGAGAGATGAGGTTTTTGCTCCATGATGAAGTACAGGGAAGTGAAACAGTTACACTCATGGGGTTGTTGTGAGAACCAGATCTTTTTCCAAATGGTGGCCATTCTTTCTAATGAAAGTTTCTCGCCCAGCGAACACGCCAAAGAAGATTTTTTTTTTCGCCCTGTTTTGATTCTGCCCTCTGCCACCCACTGAACATGCACGCTAGTGTCTCTTTCCCCTGTCTCGTTGACTTTGCACAAGGATGGTGTCACACAAAAATATCTTTTCTAAAAAGTTTAACTTTAATATAACATCTGTGGCGTCTCTACGGCAGCAGCAGGAAAAGAGAAGGATGAATCAGTAGCTACTGAATCAGACTCGGTCGCAGTCTCTGTCCCTCTGAAGTCAGTCTGGGCCTGGCTGGTTCTGGGCTCCTCTGACTGTACAGCTTCATGGGTGTAGCTCTGTGTGATGAAGGGACGCTAGAGGACTTCACTGGAAATAACCCTCTTGCTCTGATCCACCTGAAACATGGCTTTTAGAAGTTCAGTGCACGACATCATCGAGCTCAATAAGTATTTCAAAACAATGAGAAAATCCAACAACAGTAAAATCAGAATCAAAAAAACGAAATCAGTTAAATAAAAGTAGCTTTAACCCTCTAAACCACCTACTGTACCTCTTTAAGGTTGTTCAATGTGTACCTCCTGTTGCCAATAAAAACCTGGTTTCTTCGACCCTGGTCATGCGACTAAAAGAAAGAGAAGACTTTAGAGACAACTGTGATCAACTTATCTGTAATACTCTCAGACTTAAGAATGTTGAGGTTGAAATAACTTCTGAAAACGTTAAAGCAAAAACTCTGAGGATCCACTGATGGCAAGACATCATGACAAAGCACTGCTTAGTTTTTAGACCAGCCTCTAGAAGATGGTTCGCTGGTTTCCATCTCCATCTGGACATAAAACACAGTGTCAAATCAAAATATCCAACACGGGTGATAAGATCCAGCCGGGCTCTCTGTACACTGTGAACCGAACTGAGGCGTGATGCAGCAATTTGTTTACTACAGTTTGCTTGGTAATGCAGGGGAAGAGCAAAGCCTCAACACAGGTGTGCGCAGAGCTACACCGAAGTCAATCGGCTTCACGGTGAAGGTCTGGCTCTCGCCCTTCACCACCGTTATGTTGTCTGGCCTCAGAGCTGCACGGATCACCCCGACGCTCTTCAGCCCATTTGATGCTGAGGCCAACTGCAAGTAAAAACGGATTTCAGAGCAACATTTTACTGAGAAATCAAGTAATTCCCATTAATTAGTGGATAGAGTTCAGCTTTGGAGAACCGTGGTGCACGAGTTTGCACCGTTGACCTATATCAAGCCCTCTTAACGGGGCGCTACCTCGACAGCTTCTTAATTAGTCCCTAGAAAGAAACCTCACAAATATCGGATGAATTTCCCTGTGCTGCTTCCTGGTGTGACTGGGTCTTAAAACTTTCAGCGTTGAGTTCTGAAACTGCATCTGGATGATGGATCTGATCTCACTTAAAGGCACGGAAGGTGGATGGTTCTGGCCTTGCTCCCTCTGATACTCAGTCAAGCTCATATTCAGTGCTTCAAATACAAGCCCTGTGGAGCAATTCATCTGGTATCCGTCATCGAAAGTCACAGTGTTCCTCTGGTGCAGGATGTGGCTCATGAGCTCCTGCAGCAGGGATTGCCTGGAGATACAAGTTTTGCAGGCTTAGGTATCAAGACATCGTAGTAGGACAGGACAGTAAATATAAATCTAAGATTATCAGATGCATCTGACATGATACTAATATCTTTGCTACCTTGTCTTATGGTACCAACAACATTTAATTATGTTTTTGCATCAGTAATTCCTAAAAAAAAAAATTGACAGCTGTTTTTGACAGTTGTCATTCCAGAGGCAAACATCTGGCTTTAGAGCTGATACCTGCTGCTACTGTATTGATAGAAAAAACGCCTGGACTGACCCCATATCTGAAGCCCCTGGATCAGCTCGGAAAGTTTTTGGTTTCGCTCTAGTTTGAGGAAATAGATCATCACAACTTTTATCACCGTGTGCTCTGTTAAACTTTTGAACTAGTTGACACATATTCCCAAAGTGCCCTGATTATAATGTCGGTCTGTGGAGAAAATGCTTTTAAGTCTTTTGTTGCAGCACTTTAGCTTGTCACTGGGAGAAATACAGCAAACTGCTCTCCAACTGCATAATACATTCATGGTTACACCTCCCAGACTAGAGTGTTGCATATGTCCGCTTATTACCCCTGTGTGTCTCTTTGTCCCTTTGTCTTCTTGTCCGTCAGTCTGGCAAAGAGAGGGATGCAGAGAAGGTGACTTTTCATTGGAACCTGTCATCATTTGTTTTTACTCTCTACCTATGTTTCTACTTTTGCTGATACTGTAGGAGTTTTGTATTTATGATGAATACTATTGCAGTTGCATGGCTGTTGTGCTGTTTTTAATGTTGCCGTGAGATTTCTTTGCTCATGTACAGTATATGTTTTGGGGTTTCATTTGTTTTCAGTGTTGTATTTGCTTGCTTCAGACAAACCCCTCTTGTGAGGTGTGTAGTTTAGTCAACTGTTGGACTCTCGTGTGCAGGTGATCCGCAGAGGCTGGCTCACCATCAACATCAGTATCATGAAGGGAGGATCCAAGGACTACTGGTTTGTCCTGACTGCCGAGTCTCTCTCCTGGTATAAAGATGAGGAGGTAAGGCCGCTTACAGGACAGTCAGTGCACAGAAATATATAGCTTACTCTCCTTTTCTCTATCGGGTACAATCTTACTTGCTGTACCTTTTTAGAGATCACTTCACGGGTGCACTGTTGGGTTTGTGTTTTTGAAATTATTTGTAATAGTTTATCTTCTTTTATATTCATCACTACATCACTGTGTGTTTTGTCAGGAGAAAGAGAAGAAGTACATGCTGCCTCTGGACAACCTGAAGCTGAGAGATGTGGAGAAAGGCTTCATGTCCAGCAAACACGTCTTTGCCATCTTCAACACTGAACAGAGGTGTGGGTTGTAGCATCTCCTAAAACATGTATGTTCATGGCGTTGGTCTGTTTTCCTCTCTGGTTAATGGTCGTGCATGTGTGCCTTTTGCAGAAACGTGTACAAAGACCTGCGTCAGATTGAGCTGGCATGCGACACTCAGGAGGATGTGGACAGCTGGAAGGCTTCGTTCCTCAGAGCTGGTGTTTACCCAGAGAAAGACCAGGTACGTAGGAGTATATTGACATTTTGAATACTGCAGGTCATTTATGATTTGTGTTTTTAAAGAACTGCATCGTTTCTTTAAATGTAACCTAAAGCATTTTTAATGATACACAAAAAAAAAATTTGTTTGCCAGTAATTTCTGTCGGTTGTTATATATTTGGGTAAGACTAGTTTCTGAAGTTTTAAACTCAATTTCGCATGAAATTATTTTTCTTTAGATTTAAATATTTCCAGGGCAGGTCTGCAGATCGCTACTCTACAATATACTGTGCAGATACTGTGCAGCTGTTTATTCAGTACACTCCCCTGCTGGTTCAGGAAGCAGGAATCCAGCATTTAATAAAGAAACAGATGTGCCTTGAAATGTATTTGCAATTGGGTAGACGTGAGCTTGAGGTCTTACCAACATCTCTACATCTCTCTGCTTCCGCCTCTCTCTCTCTCATCGTCTCGGTCTCCTCCAGCCTGAGAACGCGGACGCGTTGAATCCTAGCGACACCGTGTCCATGGACCCTCAGCTGGAACGGCAAGTGGAGACCATCCGCAACCTCGTGGACTCCTACATCGGCATCGTCAACAAGTCCATCAGAGACCTCATGCCCAAGACCATCATGCACCTCATGATCAACAGTGTACGTCCTCTGTTTTATCCGTCTCTTTCTCATACTCAGTTTGAAGGGTTCTCGGATCGAGAGAAGTATGGTGAATGAAATATTTGTTGGAAAGTAATTTATGAGCCCCCCCCCCCTTCCCTTTTCCTCTCCCGTCTCCAGGCGAAGGACTTCATCCACTCTGAGCTGCTGGCCTACCTGTACTCAGCAGGAGACCAGGGCAGTTTGATGGAGGAGTCAGCAGAGCAGGCTCAGAGGAGAGATGAGATGCTGAGGATGTACCACGCTCTGAAGGAGGCCCTGGTCATCATTGGAGACATCAGCACCACCACTATTTCTACCCCGGTGCCTCCGCCAGTAGACGACACCTGGATAGAACCAAGGTACCAAACATGAAAAAAAAAACATAAATAGTGGAGTATTTTGATTTTTTTGGTTTATGTTGACCTGTGAACAAGTCGGCACTATTTGCAATAAACTGGTTCCAATTTTGTATTGCATGTACATCAATTTGATTTAGTCTTTTTTTATGAACTAGTTTGAGCTACTTTTTCTGAGTAGCTTCAGTGGGCCAGACCAGATTCCTCCCTACAGTAGCTTTGCCTCCACAAAAATGTGCATTTCATCACAAAATTGATGGATTCTAGAAGAACAGAGCATTTTGCCTGATGCTCACTGCTAAAATACAAACTGACTTTATTATACAATATATCCAGCAGGGGTCCTCTAGTGACTGTCTTATTATTTTCCAAGCTCTCAGACTGCTTAGACTTCTGGTTATTTCTTTCTTTCTTAGTTCTAACTCATATTACAACTAATTGCTTTGACTCAACCTTGAACATGCACAAGTCCACAAGGCAGGGAAACTTTTAAGGATGTTTATTAGGAGTTCAGCAGATATATCAGATCAGGTGCACCTTGATCAGGCTACTTTCATTAAAGTTTAATCTCAACAAGACTTATTTAAATAAAGAAAATCTATAATGTTAAAAGGACTTCAAACAGATATCTCATTTTCAAATGTAACTCTTTACTCAAAGCATCCTGTCCTTGTTTGTCAGTCCTCAACAAGCATCCCGCCCTGCCTCAGCAACAGCGGCCCCTCCCAGCCGACCCCCAGGAGTGAGGGGGCCCACCCCGGGTCCTGCACCCCCCCTCAACCCCTCACCAGCATTTGGAGTACCGCCTGTGCCTTCGCGACCGGGCCCTCCACTGGGGCAAACGGCTTACTCCAACGATCCCAACTCCGGTGCTGTGCCCCTTGTCCCCTCAAGACCGGCCCGTGTGCCTCCTGCGCTGCCACCGGGGATTCCCAGGTAAAGCCCCGCATGTACACACACACACACACACACACACACACACACACACAAACACACACACAAAATGTAAAGCTATTTGTGGCTTCGGTATTGCTGGTGAAGGGTTGTTCTATACATTTTGGCTTTTGGTGGTTTGGGAATGATTAGTGCATGACTATCTCATGATATTTTGCCTTGCATGTTTCATCCCTACCTCCCTCCCTCCCCCTCCCCCCCCAAAACCCTCCCCTCCTCTCTCTCAACTCTCTTCCTGTAGCAGAAGACCCCCGGCTGCTCCCAACCGACCCACTGTCATACGTCCTTCAGAGCCCTCCCTGCTTGACTAGAAACACAGACACACATACGCAAACACATTTCTTTTTGTTTACACTTTTATATTTCTCTTGAGCAGAGATAGTCATTAAACATTTTTTTTCATGTGTATTCCTATAACCACAAACCTTGTTCTACTGTAACTGGTAATCTGATGCTGTTTCAGTCTGTGCATTTCAGAAACATTATGTATGTAATTTTGACATTTCGTGCAGGTAGCTTTTTTAACATGATGACATTTTCTGCTTCCAGTATTATGAAAAGGGATACATTCGATGATTTTATTGACTTAAAGGTTATGAACCGAGCAAGTCATCTTGAATTTTTGTTTCATTTGAAATGAAATGTGTCTCAAAAAAATATATATGATTCATAACTTTTTATATAATGGTTAGGAAACACTTTTAGAAGCAATTTTTTTGTGAGTTGGATACTTGCTAATGTTCTGTCAGTAATCACACTAAGCACCTCATTAAGTAAAGCAGCACTTTTTGATAAAGTCCTTTGCCTCTTCGTTGTTGTTAGATCTTCAAAGTTGGCCTTCAAATGAGCTTATTAAAATCAGACTGACCAATGGAATTTGTATGCCTCAACATTTTATCTTATTACTTCATTGCAAGTTTTTTTTTTTTTACAAGTATAGTTAGGCTTTAGTGTTTCTCCTTTGTGGACCAATTAAACATGAGACAGGAGGAAGAGGGTTGGGGCAAGGCACTGCAGCAGTGGGATGTCCTCTGGTGTAATACTGATAATTATACAGTTGTTGAGGTAAGAAGGACCTTGCCCAGCCAAACTGCTGACAGTTACCTCCCACAGCTTAGTGAAAAAAGTGCCTTGAGCACAAACAGTTTTGTAATTACTTCACAAATCGTCATCTTAAAAAAAGCCATAGTGAAAAAAAAAAGTTAATGTAAGAAAAAAGAGCCTCTCTTTCAGAAGATGTATAAAGTGATGGACTGAATAAATGAGTAGAAAAAGAAGGTGTGGTGGCTGGTGCTTCTTCTTATTATTTCCCTCATTTCTTCTCTCATGCCACAGTGTACCGTTTCCGTGCACAACCAGTAAATATGCAGCAGGTGCTTCCTTCCTCCCCGTGATACGATCAGTGTATAGTTGAGATCAAGACCGTCTGATTTGCATGAGTCAAATGAAGAGAGCTGTGCAGAACAAGAACGTTTCACTTTTCTGTGTGCAGCATGGCATGACCTGCTGCATTTAGTGTATGATGGAGCTGCGGGTCACCATGGTAACCCACGGTTGCCAGTAGCAACACACAGTAAAGAAGGTGTTACACATTGCTTTTGGGGCTGTTCATAGAGCTGCTGCACAGAAATGAATAAAGGTATGCAATCCCACTCGCCTGCTGTCCCTCTCCATTGTGTTTGTTAGCTGCGTGTGTGACTGATCCACTTAACGATGAGAAACTGACTGGAAATCTTCTCATGGTGTTCTCACACAGGCGACCTCCACAAGTCCCCTCTCGTCCCAACCACTGGTGAAGGAAACGGATGTTTTCCCACTCACACTTGGACTCCCTTTGATGCACGTGGCATCAGAAGTTCAGGTGCACCAGAAACTCCAGAGCTGTTTCCAATGTAAAATTTATAGTTAGACATTTAAGGAAGGGAAAGATGCAGGAATACTGGGTCGACATTATGACAGCGGTTGTGTCTGGAGAGCATTGTCCACAGTGTCACTGTACATACAGGTATGTTATTAAGCTTGCACAGTATTTTTAGTATTTAATATGTACTGTATATCAATCATCTTGTTTTTCTCTTTGCCCATGAATACTCTGGAAATACTTTGTCCCATCAGTTTGAGTCCTCACTTGAAATGTCTCGTCAATCCTGAGGAACTAAAAGTAAACGGAAGAAAAATCAAGTTCAAAGATCAAGAAACTGCATCTTGACACAAACTTGGCAAGAAGCTCCACATACAGTACAGTGTGTTGTTATATCCTCCTTCAAGACTAAAGAATAAACTAATTTACACACCAGCTGCTTCTTTGTTTTCTACTATATTCCATTATACACAAGTTTTAACTTAACTCATGAGCACTTTTCTGGCCAGCCACACTTGTCACTTCACACTGCACGATAAAGCAGAGACGCATCAGTGTAATAACTTGGCGGTTTGGTAGTTCAGTGTTTTTCAAAAACTGCGAAATAGCAACAAGTGCAGTTAATTCATGCTGATTCTTTGAACATCTGATTAAATATTACTTGGTATTTAACCTTTAAACCAGCTTCAACTGAATGTCACATAATATCAAAGTTGTTTTTGTAAATGGCTGTATTAAGTTTTTGATAAGGTCAGACATTCGGGGGAGCAGTATCTGCAGGAAGAAAGTGCAACTACACATGTTGGTCACACCTGATTGCTTGCCTCTATATGGCTCTGGGGAAAATACATGAGCTGATAAGCTGCGTTATGTCATTTAAAAAGAATAAGATGCAAAAATGATAAAAAAATAAATTTGGGTTGAAACTGTGCTGCGTGATAAGCTGTCACTTCATCATTAAACACATCAGTGTCAACAGCGCTGAGGTTTCTCAGGATTTACATGCACAAGAAGCATCCTTTTAAGAAAACTGCCTTTAGGAAACCTTTGTTTTTGCTTTATTGTGCTGTTTTAAATGACCGTGACAAGTCATACAGAACACATTTAGAAAAATTATTCATTTGGCCGCTCTCTCCATTTTTATTCTAAAAAGGCAACTCACATTAAACCATCAAAGTTTTTACTGTGTAAAAAAAAAAAAAAATGCATTTATTAATGTGAATGACGTTCATGAAAACCTGATTACCTTAATTATCTTATTGAACATGTAACGAAAGTCTTAAAAAAAAGAAAGAAATCACTCCATGGCTGTTGAGTACACACAAAATGTCACATTGTGTTGACACAGTAAACACACATCAGAATAAAAGCAAGTTTGATCATCAAGAAACACAAACACACATTTAACAATTGACACATTGAACAAAAAAAGTTTGTTCAGACTGAATTATCTTGATGCATATCTACACTGACATACATATGTGTCTGGAGGAGTACTGACACATGTACGTTATTGGCAATCGCACTGGAAATCATTCCTGTTTCTTACTCGACATTCTTTTTTGTCAACATGGACTTGTACTGGCACATGAAAAGAAATCAGTAACATCTCAGAAAAACAAAAAACAAAAACAGAAGGAGCCATTTGGATTGATAAATCACCAATATAATGGCAGGATCTTACAGTCAGGAAGAACAAATACGCCAACAACCCTATTGCACATTGTTTTCACTTGTAAACCGATAAACTAGGCGTTCTGTGGATTAGTTTAGTAACGTCATAGAACCGACATTTAACCTTTAAGAAGGACGATTTCACCTTTTGTGGAAAAATCCCCCCCCCCCAAAAAAAAACCTCAAACGCTTTCAAACAACAAAGGACAGTACTTATATAATATTTTTTGTTCTGTCTATGTAGACCTTGTTTTTCAAAATGTACTTTCTCTCTGGTTTGTGGTTTGTGTACTTTCTCTCTGGTTTGACATTAAAGGCATTTCATTAAATTAAATGACCAACTACAACTTCCGCAGTCTCTTCCTTGTCTGGTTACCCTTCATGATCCACAGCAATAATATCTAATTGTTGCTCACAAACTGAAAACAAGATTTTAGAAAAAAAAAAAGGTCCAGTAGAGCTGATGTTGAATGCTGGTGTTCATGTAGACAAAATGAGAAGTAATGGAGTACAATCTAAGCAGGGAACCAGTTACCCAGTTTTCTTCCCAGCTTGACTTGTGATGCAGCACAACGGTTTCTTTATGTGTAGACCCTCCGCTTATCGTCAAACAGCTTACGGACAGTGTAGACCTGGGAATGGAGAAGTAAACAGACAAGATATCACGATGTTGGTCATTGTGATTTAAACTGCTTGTCAGAAATGTGATTACCCCAAACTTCCCCTCCAGCACTCTGTTTACCTGAGTGAGGGCCACACACAGCATCACCAGCACACTGGCACAGGACCAGAATGAGACCCTCCAAAGGTTATCTTCCAGAAGGTTTCGGTCCCGCGCTTCAAAAGCCCGCAACACTGTCTGCATCTGCCGGCTGCGCTCCAAGCGTCTGTGCAGAGAGTCCATGGACTCCTGAGGAAATAGTGAGGAAAGTTTTTAGGGTTTTAAGCAAATGATGGCTGCAATAAAAGAAAAGCGGGAGTTAGCGGCTGAGAAAACAAAATGAATTTGTCATTTGGTCTCAAAAGTTTTCAACTGTTAACACATCCTCTGTTTGTTTTTATTTTCATTTTATTTGTGAGTTTTCAATTTTATAAACAAGTAACACAAATATAGAAGGAAATACTGTTCCAGGAGAAAAAGAAAGAAAAAGGAAAGAAAAAGAAAAAAGAAATTAATAAATAAAAATAGATAAATAAATAAAGACCCTGCTCTTAAAGGGCACAAGGTATTAGAGTTAACATAACAATAAGCGCCAGCCTGAAAATGGATGTCTAAAGCATATTACATTCACCAAGAGAAGCATACATATACATATAAAGAGTACATGTACAAACATACCATGTATACACATCTGTATCCACAGACATACATGCACACACACACACACAATGCTTTACACTCTTGATAAATAAAACAGAAGTGGTTGCCACATTCTATCAAAGGTCGTAGAGCGAATACAGTTCATTTATCTAATCCTCTCCAGATGCAACAATTTAGTGACCTCTTCTAGCCAAGTCTTAAAAGAAGGCAAACACATCCTCAGTAGAGGACCTTGGTACAACTTGACCACTTCAACAGGTTATGATTTTGTGTCACATCAACCTTTCAGCTGGCAAAGCATAATACTGGTTCATTCAGCCATTGCTGTGGTTTGCCACGACATAAACCGGCTAAAGGTTATGATTGACATTATTCTACATTTTCCATATTGTCAGAAAATCCCATGAGGAGTCCAAAACCAACACTACGTGTGTTGGTCTGTCAATGCTTTCCCACTTCCCCTGTCGGTCTGTATCTACTGAAGACAAAATAAAATAGGTAAGAGATACGGTACGTGGTTTTATTTTATTTTTTTTTCAAATTACAAATAAGTTTATAAACCAGCTGGACACTGTATTTATTAACGAAAATTACTGAAGCAGGAGTTAGTAGTTCATTTGTGGGGACTATTTTCATCCGTGGATTAACACACGTTTTGTGATCTAGTGAGAATTTACAGCAGCAGAACTGTGTGTGCAGGATTGACTTCAAATGAACTACATTTAAAATCAACCTATGTTCATTGTAATGAAGGATCATGTCGCCCAGTGAAACGGTGTCGCTCCCTGATGTGTATTTAATAGATTTTAGAGAAGAAAGGAAGTCTGTGGCACAGAGGAAGGAGGTGCGTGTGTGGCCACACACAAAATACATGTTAGTAGGATCAGTTAATTGCTGGTTTCAGTCTTTTCATGGGATTTGTTGACAATAAGAAAAATAGAGAATAATGTCGGTTATCCTTTGAACAGCCAAATTATCGAGGGAGCTTAATAGTTAATGAACAAACCCAGAAAACAATCATCTGGCTGATTGTTTTCAAGCGATAATTAATATTATTTGATTCTGAGACAAATGTTATGAGAGGAAGGGCAGAGCTAATGAATCAAACCATGACAAATTTGTCCTGATTTGTACCTACACAACAACCCTGTTACAGTCATCTCTCCTTTCCTTGCCTGGATGTTGTTTAGATATTGTTTGATATTGTCATCTTTCCCAACAGCAGGGGTTTGTTAAAAGGTCTGCTGACACAGTGGACTAGATTTCCTTCTTTGAATTAATTTCTAAACCACAAACATGCATCTCACCCGGATGTCTTCCAGCTTGTACTCCAGCAGGCTTCCATCAGGCTCCTCTAAACCCGCCCACTCCTCATCTCCACCCACATCCCCTCCTTGACCCTCGATGATAATTTCAAAGAATACCATCTTCTCTGAGAAGCGACTGAAGCTGTTGTCAAAGCAGATCTGATAGTCTCCCTCCTCTGTAGGCTCCACCCTGGAATAACAGGAAATAATATACGGTCAAAAATACAGTCAAATAGACTGACACATGAAATATGATCCAGGTCTCAGGCCAAAGGGACGTAGCACTAACACATGGACTCCGTCAGAGCGTCGAGACTCCATGATGAGCCGGACGCCTTCTGGAGAGAGGATGGTGACGTCAACATCCATACCAGCACCTGCTATCACCTGGATGTAGACACACAAATACATACAGTCACTGATGAGCAGGCTCACAAATATAATCTACAACACTTTCTTTCTTTTTTTGAGTGTAGTAGTATGTGTACGGAGACAGGGGACATGCAACAACGATCATACCAGGCAGACTGCGGTCATATATGGGTCTTAACTGCTAGGCCACCAGGTCGCCCCAAGCCAAACAGTTTTAAGAGAGATTACATGTGTGTTGCAAGAGGGAGCATAATGTTATCTTTAAGACTCTCCCACTAAACAAATACACTACTGACTGGTAGAGCTTCACATTATGAGATGTGCTCCTGTGTAAATAAATGACTTTAAAGTCACATTCACAGTGGCTTCAGAGTGTGCTCAGTCCCCTTCAGCTTTATTGTGCTGTAGATTTCATTTTAAACGGATAAAAGTGCCATTGTTGCCCATCTGCCTACACTCAGTGACCCACAGTGAAGACGTGTCTTTAGAAATTTTTGCAACTTTATTAAAAATGAAAAATTGAAATCACTCATTTACAAAAAGTATTCAGACTCTTTTTTGTGGCACTCAAATTGAGTTCATCTGTGGCAAAATGAGTTGATTAGACAGAGGTTATAAAGGCACATATTTGTGTAAACAAGGTCCCACAATTCACACTGTATGCCAGAAAAAAAAAACAAGACATAAAGTCCAAAAACGCACTGTAGACCTTTTTGATAAAATTGTGGCTAGGCATAGATCACGGCAAGCACACAGAACCATTTCTAAAGCCTTGAGTGTTCCCAGGAGCACAGTGGCCTCAATAATTGTGGAATGGAAGAAGTTTGGAAACACCAGGATGCTTCCTAAAGTTGGCCAAACTGAGTGACCAGGCAAGAAAGGCGTTGGTCCGGGAGGTATCCAAGAACGGTCACTCTCACAGAGCTTCGGAAGTCCCCTGCAGAGATGGGAGAACCTGATCTAAGGACGACCATCTTGGCTGGATGGAAGCCACTCTGAGTAAAAGGAAAATGACAGTCCGCTTGGAGTTTACCAAACAACATTTAAAGGACTGTTCTTCACCTGGCTAATACCATCCCTATGGTGAAGCATGTTGGTGTCAGCATCATGCTGTGGGGACGATCCTCAGTGGCAGGGACAGGAAGACTGGACATGAAGGGTGCATTAAGCAAAATACAAAGAGGTCATTGAAGAAAACCTGCCTCAGAGTATATGCGACCTGAGACCAGGGGTGACAGATCAGCTTTCAGCTCAACAGTGACCTGAAGAGTACAGCCAAGACAACGCTGCAGTGGCTTCAAGACAAGTCTATGACCGTCATTAAGTGGCCCAGCCAAGGCCAAGACTTAAACCGCATACAACAGTTGTGGAGACACCTGAAGATGGCAGTTCACATACGCTTCACATCCAATCTGATGGAGCCTGAGAGGATCTGTCAGGAAGAATTGTATAAACTGCGGAAATCCAGGTGTGAAAGTTTTGAAGAGACTTACCAAAGAATCAGTACTGAGTTAATGCTTTGACTTGACTTGAGTGTAGCTTGATGGTTTGAATACTTTCTGAAGCCACTGTATATGGTGATGCAGTTTTGGCAGTAGTTGAGCTGAAACAATCAGTCAATCAATTAATCGGTCACAATCTGGATAATTGATTAATCATTTAAGTAATTTTATAAGCAAAAATACCCGGATTCACTAATTCTAGTGTCTCTAATGTGAATATTTCTTACATTTCCATAGTCCCCTGTGACAGTAAATGTAATATCTTTGGGTTTTGGAGTGTTAATTAGACAAATTAAGCTATTTGGAAATGTCTGGGAATTAACAATGGACATTTTCGCTATTCTCTAACATTTTACAGACTGAATGATTACTGGAGAAACTACTGGGCAGATTAATGTATAACAAAAACAAGTGTTAGTTGACATTTCACCATGTGGGCAGAGCTCCTGTGACTCTAATGGGGGTGGGTTCCTGCATATCAACATTAGTTACTGACTAACATTCAGCTCTTGATCTTTAAGGATTTTGAACTCCTGTTTGATTAATCTTAAGACAACAGATATTTTTCCCTCCTGTTCCTCCAACACTGTCCTGCGTGGACCAGGATCAGGATCAGGATTTCACTCCAGGTCTTTAAACTTCTGGATGACCAGAGGCTACCAGGATGTGAAACATACAATATTTACATATTGTCACGTTCTTCTTTTCGACATACGAGCAGTGTGTAGCGTATTATCTCGTTTCCTGTACAGTATTTTGTTATCGTCGATCTTTCTATGTGAAGTTCTTGTGCTCGTTTCTTTCGGGAAGCACTTATTTTATTGCTATCTTGCATAAAAGGTGCTAGACAAATAAAGTTTGACTTGACGTTTGTTTAACCACAGTTTTTCAACTTATCTGCACGATGTGTAATCGACATGTAATGGTTACAAATGAGTTGCGATATTAGTTGCGTTTACTCCCACAGAGTGAAGTTATGAGCTGTCATTCCCTACAGCTGCAGTTCAGTGCTGGCTCATCAAAGATGTGCGTACAGCTACACCACCAATATGTCAGCTAGCTGAGGGAATGACGGCTAATGATGGTCAGCCATCAGCGTCCTGCTCCTGTGTCCTTTAACAGATGGTCTGTACCAGGTTCACACAGTGGGTGGATGTGTCTGCCGACCACACACATAGTTACCTGATACTCGACCTCCATTGTGCCATTCTTTACTGCTGTTTGAAAGAAACACTCCGATCTTCCGGCTGGCAGCAGAAACGTGAACTCGCTGTCTTGGCTCTGTCCAAAACAGCGCACAGACCCTAAACACCACCCGAAAATGACTGCCAGGACAAACAGTCGCCCCCCGCTCCCCTCTTTCCTCCGGATAAGGTCCATGGTGAACATATTCCCAAAAACAACGCTATCTAAGTTCAGCCATCTCCGTCGCATCCCTCTTCCGCAGCAGAACTTTGCGGTGTTGTGATTGGACGGAGGCCCGCGAACGAGGGCAGCGCTGCGGACCAATCAGAGGAGGAAGAGTAGCAATCTTCCTCCAATCACTGCAGAGCTGAGGGCTGTGCGACCACATGCATATGGGGAATAGTAATGCTGATAGTGTGCAGTGGCCGAAACGACCTAAAGTAAAGTAAAACTCAGACCGTGGAAATAATTGCATGGCAGTACCTCCCAAAGGCCCAGGGCAAAATTTGTTGTTGGGCCCCTACTAGCCCCTTCTTATAAATAGCAGTTTGATTATTTCCAGAGGCAACTAGAAACCAATCAATAGTCTAAAGCAGAACTGATTTGTGGTTTAAGTGATTAGTCAATTGAAAGAAAATGAACTAGCAACAGTTTTGATAACTAATTAAGAGTTTAAGCCATTTTTAAAGCAAAAATGCCTAAAATTCACTCATGCTAATCTCTGGCATGCTGTAGCACCAAGATCAAAAGGTGGCTGATGGCACACCACTGGCACTCATACACACTCTGATGAATATGAATGGTGTAAAAAGTGTGACTTTCTGACAAATGCTACATTGTGTCATGCTAATATGCCTTAAATAAATGAACGTGAAGTTGTTATTCTATCTTGATCTATTGTTAGATTATGTGTGATACTTTTGTGACACTGATTGTAAAACAATTTAATTCATGATCATTGATGAAACCGAAGCAAATACTTGAACTAGCCTTAGCTAACATTAGCCAGTCTGACTAATCAATAATAGACATAATAATAGCCACCTGGACAAACAGTTACAATATTTTGACATGTAAAATTAAATGTGCTATGCATACATTGGATCATATATAATATGGATCAGGGAACATTAATACATGTTGCACATTGTTTATTATGTAATGCAGCTAAATCTGGCATGAATTAATCACTCCTGATCTAATCTTATTCATTGCCACACCACTGCTCATCTAATATATTTGCTATACTTTGACAGCAGACTCAAAGTCTGTATTTTTGACTGTTCAGTCAGACAACAGTACTTTCTCTTGTGCTTCAGGGAATAATGATGGGCACTTTTTCCACATTTTTTAAAATTTCATTATTATTATTATTATTATTATTACTATTATTGACATTTTACATATTTATTATTAAAAAATAATAACAATAATTAAAATAATAATAATTAAAAATGATAGTCAGACATGCTGATAATGAAAATAACTGTTGGTTGCAACCTTACAGTTCTCCTGTCGTGTACTAATACCTCCTTGCCCAAAGTTTTCCGTGCCTATAACAAATAGGGCCACAAAATAAGAGAACATATCATAGTTGTTACTGTACCACAGTGGTACCAAATGTATGATTAATCAAGCTATGTAGGCCCAAATATATCATATACTTGGGGACCTTGGGACTCCTGGAGGTCAGGCGAGCCTGTGCCTTTTTTCTTTTCTTTTTTTTTTTTGATAATTGCTGTTTCCCAGGTCAAGAATAAACAGTCAAGAAGACAAGTAAGTGAGAAATTTTAACCAGGACCAGAGCCATGGCCAAGATTTTGTGAATAGGCCTTCTGAGGTCAAGGGTCTATCCCAAATCATCACCTTGGTCTAAATAAACTGGATTTCTGATGATGAGGAATTACATAAACACAGATCAATGACAGCACAGCAGCACACGACAATCACATCACAACAATGAACATATAATAATGATAATAACAACAACAACAACAACAACAACAACAACAATAACACTAATCATGATGAATCCCAAATTTGAAAACAATAAAGTGTAAACTGTACTTTCATTTAACAGTGTGACAGTGAGCCAGCGTGAACAATAGCATGACCCTGAAAGTGAAGCAGCTACATGAAATTCATCCGTCATTGATTTAATTGTTTAAACCAGTACTTCTTTTCCCGCTGAGAGATGTCAAAACACACACGTAACAGTCCACTGACACAGTCCAGTGCCAGCTAAAGGCTCGGGATTGTGCATGAAATGTAATGGATTCATCATTTATGTTATTAGTTGCACCTGTACTGTTCAGGGAGTGCAAGTCACTCAGGATTCAGCCCAAGTTAAAGCAGCAAGTGCAGGAAATGGCTGATTCCCTGGGCTGCTCACCTACTGAAATAGGACACAGTTTGCGACACAGCCCTTTTATCCATGGACGGTGTTGCATTTGTTCTAATAGACACCCACAGACTAATTCAAATGAATGCTACAGAGAAATCATTGCCATTATCATATCAATAAGCAACAAAGAAAACAGGAAATAGTTAGAAACGTTGCCAGTTTTTTGGGCAACATGGGGAATGTTACATGGCAAAAAATAGGAAATAAGTAATGATGTAACTGAAAGTAAAGAGGTGAAAAAATGTCATCCAGTGAACGGGGAAATCCAAGTTTCTCGGATTTGAAAAAAAAAAAAGAGTTTGCATTTTCCATTGATATGCCTTTTTTTTTTGCAATTCATGTAAATAATTTAATATATTATAATTTCATTTTATTATGTACACAATAATTGTCACCTCTGGGGCTCTATGGTTGTGTCCATCTATTCCTCAATTTCTTTGTATTCAACAAGGAACAACCATGTGCAAGCCCCTGACTGTGGACTTCCGTCTGTCCTCCCTCCTCTTTATCTCCATTGAACACAATGTGCATTTTGTGTGTGTGTGTGTGTGTGTGTGTGTGTGAGAGAGAGAGAGAGTATGTGGTGTAGTTCCGACATACGGAGTCCCTCATGTGAAACTGCCCCCAACAAAGGAAAACCCAGATTGGGTTCAAATTACTACGAGTTTCATGCAGAAGAAAAACAAACCACATCTATTTTTACTTGTTGAGATACATTATTTGATCTTCATCATATTTGACAAAGCATTTAAACATCAGAGAAAAAGAAGAAAACATGAGATATCAATATTTATAAAAAGCACATGTGAAAAATGTATTTCTGATAAAGAGTGGAAAACGAAAGTAACAATAAGAGGAAGAAGAAAGAAAGAAAGAAAGAAAGAAAAATATTTAAAATGAACACCAATTGCTCATATTTCTGTACTATCCTCTGCTGTCTGCACATGCATAAAGTGGAATTTCTTTTGCCAGATGTTGCAAGCATAACAAAGTAGGCAACAACACATTGTTCCTTAAAACTAAAAACAAGTATTGATAAATCACTCATAATAACAAAAAAAGGAAGAGGACAAAAATAATAGTGTAGCAACTCACTGCAACAAGCATGGCAGGAAAACCTTTAAAAAGGTGTTGCCACATTAAGCCTTATATTTGAGCTGCAGTCTGCTTTGCTGTCTCCAATCCTCTGCAACAAATTAGTCATCTTCAATCACTGCAGATTGTTTAGCTGACATTAGATAAACACCAATGAATAATGAAAACAAAAGCGACATATTGCTTGGGCCAATATGTGAGAAAACGGTGGCCTGACACTCTGGGAAGGGATTTTATAAGTGTGACCCTAATGCTGACTTTACTGTATTAAATTGCAGATGAATTGCACTGTGGGTGATGGTGCAAGGTTGAGGTAGCAGCCAAAAGTACGGGTGTGAACTTAACGCTACAACCACCTCGACTCTCAATAAGACTGACTTTGACATCAATCTGCAAGGTTCAGCAGCATTAAAAATTGTGCATTGCTCAGTTAGACAAAGTGATTGCACAAGTTTCTGTGAAACAGACGAAAAAAGTAGCTGCACTGAGAAAACAAACCAAAAGTGTTAATCGGAACATGAGACACAAGGGGTGAGAAATACAAGAGAGAGAAAAGGAAGTGTCAGCTGAGGGACGATAACTATAGTCAGTAGTCGTAGGGAGTGTCCCACGCACACACACACACACACTCACATGCACACTATTCACTCTCTCTCTCTGCCTCTTCCCCATGTCATCTTCATTTCCTCCTTATATGAGCTTGCTTTAAAAGCAATATTAGTGATAGCTGACAGCAGGCGAGAGAGCACAGGAGGTGAGGGAGGACTGAAATCTGAATTTGGTGCAGACATAGAAGGATTTTATATTTTTCTCAGGAGGTGAGACGTCTAGAGAAGTTCAAACATACAGTGACACTTCAGAAAATATTGTTACTGTTTTTTTTGTTTTTTTTTTTAAAAATGGTGTCTAAGAGCATATTTTGCTGTTGGATTTCAAAGGAGCTTCAGAGGAGTGTTTGAAAAGTACTCCCTGCTGCTGGATGGTTGACTGAGCTGTGGAGCAACATCTGGTGCATTTTGAAATCCAAGGTAATCTACATTAAACTGCCTTGAACAAAATGTAAGAAGTGTTTTTCTTTCTTTTTGATTCACTCTACATACAACAGCTGTCTTTTCTTGTTTGCTTTCAGTAATTAAAGTATGTAGAAATCACTTTGTTTCCTAGAAGGAGGTTGCATTGCATGTACCTACCTTTAAGCAGAGAAGACAAAACCTGAGGCCATGTCTCGTGTCTTTCTCTCAGTCTGTTTCTGTCAGTAATGGTTTTTTTTCTCTTGTCTCTCCACTGCCTGCCTTTTTTTCTTCTTTTTTTTGTCTCTTTGTCTTTCTGTTCCCTGTTTCTTTGCTCTACCTAACCTTAACCCTGTCTCTTTCAGTATCCCTTTCCTCGCCACATCGAGCTCTTTGACCTTCAGCCCCAGCGTCCCGGGTGGAGTGTGATGGCAGAGGGCGGCATCGCTACCTCACCTCAGGTGTTTGTGGTGGACAGTCACTTAAACTATGTCTCTGTGCCAAGCAAGAAGAGACCGAGGTGGGCGAGAGTAGGCCAAAGGTTTCTTCCCCTGCTGGTCGGACTGACCGTGTTTGGGCTTGTCGTGCAGGGGTTTTTAATCTACAATCTGTACAAAAAAACTGAGGTGAGTCTGATGTCTGTCTGCCTGTCTGTCTGTCGGTCTGAGTGAGTGAGACGCCACAGTGCTCGGAGTGATTGGAAATTCCTTTTTGCTAGAATTTCCCTATTTCACTCTACGTCATAACCAGACAAGCAGCCGTGTCATTGTTGGCTCTTTTACTTGTAGGTTGATAATGACAAATGTGTCAGATGGACTCGTTCTCTAGTTCTACTTCCCTTTCCTTTCCCTCTCAAGTGCAAACATGATATAACTTCACTTTCCTAAGACAGTTTCATTATGCCCTTTATTCAGACCTGCCTCTGTTATATTGTAGAGTCCAAATATACACTGCTTTCAAAAATCAAACCTTCAAGGTCATTTAGAAGAACAGAAACTAGTTAAGAAATTAATAACAGAATCTAGCCCCTTTATCAGTTACTTTATTTCTTAGCAACCAAAAATATCTTTTAAAGTTGCATTGTAACATAGTGTTATAATTATTATTTTGCCTTTATTTTTGCATTAATAATTCAATCTGAGGCCTTTATTAGAGTATGTGAATGAATTGGATAAAAACGGTGGTTTGTCTGCCACCACAACAATGATTGAATTCTATCTTTTGATAAAAAAGATATGCTTGTATCTACAGTGAATGTGTGGATAACTTTACATTTCCACATCTCTTCGTGTACAGATATACCGGTTTCCATTGGGCAGGACGCTTCCTGTTCTTACACATTCTTGAACTTTTGACACCTTGTTTGCAAACACACAGATTTTGTTACTCAGCCATGTGTTCATTTCGTACTTTTTTTTTTTTCTTCTTCTCACTACAGTCCTTCGCCCTCTATGACTCTCATCCCCGCTACCTGAACCTATCCAGTCCCAAAACATCTGGCCAGCTGGTAAGAGAAGGTGTACACTATGCACATGTTTGGCTACTGAAATACAGTGACACTGCCCGGTGTGTGCTGGATTTTTGAGTTTTATCTCTTTTTTTTTTCTGTTTCAGGGTGGCGCTATAATGCCTCAAGTGGGATCTAAAGGTATTGAGTTACTCTCAGTTATCATAAGTTATTATGCTCATGTTGCACATAGGGGGCTATAGATAGAATTAATCTTTCATCTTTACTAACTGTCAACAACTAAGATAAAATACTGTAACCAAGATCCAGAGTAAAAAAAGTCAGAGCTATTTCATGCAAAACCTCACATTTAAATTCAGATGTGGTGTTTTTATATTGATTGATTTATTGTTTGATTGACTGGTTGCATGATTGATTGATCTCCATAGAGCGACCACACCCGGAACAGATCCAACAGAGGCCCTTTGCTCACCTGATGGGTTAGAGCTCTCTCAATACTCAAACCTAAATATTGTATCTGACCTAAATTGGTTGAATTTAACTCATCTTTATCGATTTCTTTTTGCAAACAACTCATTTATCTCCTCTTTATCTCAGGCTCTGATTATCCTGCCGGGGAGAACAATGTGGTGCAGTGGATGCATGAAGGTGGCGAAGCCATCATCCGCAACATGAGCTACAACAAAGGCAGATTATTGGTTGAAAAGGAAGGTTACTACTACCTCTACTCCAAAGTGCAATTGAACACTGGTGAGGAGTGTTCGCTTATCCAACACAGGGTCATGAAAGACACCAACGCCTATGGAGAATCTATCGAACTTATGAAATCAAAAAGGTTAGTCAGTGTACCGCTCTTTACTTCCTTCCTCTGTTGTTGCACGTGTGCTTCCATGAGTGCAACCTGTAACCTGTAAGGCAAGTTGACATCAATGCTGTCTTCATTGTGGTGAAGTGAGTTTGTTTTGCGATGTCTCTTGCATGTTTCCTCTAGCTTGCGCTGCAGGACCCAAAAATCTTCAAGTGCAAAGGCTTCAGATGGGGAGGATCTGTGGAACAGTTTCCTGGCTGGAATTTTCCACCTGCAGGAGGGGGATCAAATTTTTGTCACACTGGAGAATATACAGAAGATGCGTACAGGAAATACAGACAATTTCATGGGGGCCTTCATGATATCTCCTTAGAAATATTATGAAGGCAGGTATAGAAATACATCTACCCCACCTTATGATCAGATTCTGTGCCTGTGTGTGTTAATTTGCACCATATGTTGTGGTAAATTTTATATATCTAATATATACAATATATGTAATCTAATATGTACTGTACTTGATGAATGTATTTGAATAATTTATGAAAAAGCAACTAACAGTTGTAGTATCATAAAAAGTATCTGATATTCAGATTATATAATCATACTACCTATAATTTGTTGCATACTGTCGTTATTGTTGTGTGAATAAATGACTGTTTCTTATCAAACACAAATGTGAGGTGGCGTCAGTTCCTGATAAGATCATATCTCTGACACATCAACAAGATCAATAAAGAAACATCTTTTTTTATGAAAGATGATCACTTGTAGAATAAGAAAATGTCACACAGATTTCTTTCCTGCTCACAACCAAACCGTGCAAACACACAACAAAGTGCCTGAAGGATACCTAAAGCACACTGAGACAAACCACAGATATGCAGTTACAGATCTAGAGATATGCAACATATACAAATGTCTGCAAAGCAGTGTGTGTGTGTGTGTGTGTGTGTGTGTGTGTGTGTGTGTGTGTGTGTGTGTGTGTGTGTGTGTGCGTGCATGCATGCGTGCGTGCGTGTGTGTGTGTGTGAGGAGCAGGATGTGGTTGAGTAAGGATGCACTAAGGAGAGAATGAAGAGGGGTAAGAGTACTGAGGTGCCGAGGTTGGTGTTGCTGACTCAGCTCTTCTCAAAGTGTACAGGGGAAAGTTTCACAGACACTGCAGCAGTGTCAAATGGAAAAAAAGAAAGTAGTGGTACAGAGATGTAGAAGTAAAGCAGAGTTCAGCAGCCAGAAAGGGATTCTGCAAGGGAATTAGGGTGGAAAAAGAAATGCAAAAAGCAAAGTGTAAGAAACGCTTGACAGAAATGAGGAACCACAGGTAACTGTGTAGACAGGTAGACAGACAGGTAACTAAATATCACCACTGAGACCGCTTTAAGTAAGTGGAACGACTGACCTCGTTTGCTGAGGAGATATTTGGGTCATTTCCTGCCCTGAGAGGCAGATAAACATCTGTAATAAACAAGATTATGCTCTTGCAACAAGGGCGTGAAAGCTTTGCACATTAACACCTCATGTTATTGTTGTTCCTTCCCTGCAGTGTTGGAAGGTATCAATATATTTATATCAGTGCTATTCTTTTTTTGTTTACATTTTTGAAGCAACATTAGAATGCTGTTTACACATAAATGCATCAGGATTCATAAACGATATAGTTCTAATTTACATAACAAATAAACTGTAAAAGGGGCTGCTCTGCATAGTGAGCTCTTTTACTTGCAATGTGAAGGTTTTGACCTCCAGTAGCACTATGGAGGTGTTCGATCCCCGTTTTGTTTCTAAGGCATGCGCACAAGGACACACATGCACATATGTGCACAGGTAACAAACCAACATACTGTATGTAGTAATGCACGAACAAAGACAGCAAAGAAGAAGAGGGCTAGTGAGTAAAGAAGCATGTAAAGAACACAGATTTTAAATGCACTGTGGCATTTTCTTGTGAACAAACAGCAGTTGTGTTGACATTCAGTGTTATACACTGTGTGTATCCGTGAGGTCAAACAAATGTGGATTTCCTTCTTCATAAAACATTTACAAAGCCAATTTTTCAGTTTTTGAAGTGGTACTTTGTTTACGTCCATGTTAACTAGCTTGCAGTCTCGATCTTCTCTGCCTTGCTGGTGCAGTGCTGCAGACAAATCATTTGGATTGATGAACTGTACTGAACCACTTCCTGAGATGATCTGATCATTTCACTGTTCACTTCTGCAGATGAATCAATGACTTGATTCAAGTCATTTTGTTCGCAGGAGGAATCGGGTGTGTTCAAGTGTAGGTATAAGTATTTTGTTGATCCCGAAATGCACATTACCACAGCGGCAACATGAGCACAGTACAACACAACAAACTATGTCCCAAGTAGCGTATAGAAACAAGTAGCAATTGAACAAAATATGAGTCAGTGATTAATGGCAGACACACACACACACACAAACACAATAAAACACAGCCAGACACACACAAAAAAGGACTTGTAAATATGAATGTATTGATTTGTAAAAGCAGATTTTGCTTCTGTCCAAAAGTATCCCATTGATCTAATCAAACTAACTACAATTTTTCAAATTACATTCAGCATTTCCTTTTAGACTCAAATATTTGAGTGTGTCTTCTTCTTCATGTGTGCACTGACGAAATGAAAGGCATAAAGTCACATATCACAATCGTAGACAATATTTATTTCCCTTTGACATCTTAGGTTCGTATAATACAGGAGGTATGATTATGTTGAGTTTGTTTGCAGGCCCACATAGTTTTTTTTCTAAACCGCACTGTATGGTAAATAAACAGGAAGTGATGTACATCCAGTTCCCGTTATAGGCTGCGTAACAGCAGGGAATTTTCCCTTACATAAACATTTCATGTATTCCATCTGAAACTTTCACACTTGTCATTTTATCTTGATATATTTATGTCCATGTTTACTATGGATAACAATAAAATACATTCAACGATGTGCAGTTTGTCCATAGGACTAACAGTTTCTCAATTCAGTACACATACAAAAGCTATTTTAGTACCTCTTGATCATTTGGTTCGTTTCTATGGGACCCATGTTTCTGCAAGTTATTTTAAATGCATAGTCTTACTCATTACTGTTACTTATCATTTGCCAGAAGAGATTAAATGTCTCCATTTAACTACAGTAGACCCTGATGAGGGTTTTTGGAACAGAAATATAATCACACAGTTTTGTAAGCCTCAACATTATGCTCCCAGACTTTTATAAAATAAAAACAGAGTTATAAAGTCACATATAACCCAATGTAGACTGCTTAAAAACGCAGTGTATTGCACAGCAACACCAATGTAGTGGTATCTACATGAAAATAAATTTATATAAAAAAATAGCAACACTATTATAAATATAAGTACATAAATAATTCAATATCACAAAATAAATATATCACATACAGAGTAACACATATATTAATATTTACACAGAATGAGATGAGTGTCTAGTCTTTTTCTGATCCTGTTTGCATTATCACAGCTGCAACTTTTCCTGAGTTTCCACCTTCAAACGCTGCTAAGCTGCATCTTCTTACACCTTTGGTTCTGAAAATGGCACCAGCACCTGCCCATTTTCACACAAACTGGTGTTTTTCTTTAGGTACGACCTACAGGTCACGAGCACAACTGCATCTTGATGACAAGAGTAACACTACATCGTCCACATTACTCCACGAGGAACATCCCGAGTCCCGAGCCGGTCAGCTCCAGTTTCCAGTGTTGCAGTCCTTTTGGTACTGTCATCTGAGTGATAAGTTTCGGGCTGTCCAGCAGCTTACTCACTGTCCAACACTTCTTGCTCACGGGTGTTGAATTTGCCACAGCTGGGAGGTTCACGTCGCAGCTGAGCTTATCGCCCACATCCACTCTGATGAGGCCTGGGTTGCATTGGAAGGTGCAGGTGAAGTTGAGCTCAATGTACATGAAGTAGACCCCCGCTCGTTCTGGCTTCAGCGACTGATGAATTTTGTCAAACACGAAGTTGCTTCCTACAGATTCACCAAGACCGTAGCTGACAGAATCCCACTTCATGGTGGAGTTCGTCAATTTACCTGCGGGAGGAGACAAACATTTCATTTAGATCATGTTTACACAGTGCAACAACTGATCAGGCTGATCAGTTACATTCCTCTCTGGTGTTGGCTTGTCTGAGGTCTAAACTGATTTGACAATCATCTAAAAACTTTTTAATGTCATTTATTTGTTGTAGATGGGGGATCATGAAAATAATTATATGTCCCATATGAGAAGAAACTTTGTGGCCCAACAGAAAGACATCATTGCATCATTTTTGAATTCTGTCCATAAACATATAGGCTACTTGTTTGTATCCAGAAAATCAAAGTAGACTTACTTGACGTAGCCTCCAGGTAGGCAAAATTGTGCATCTGTTGATAAAAAACACAAGATGAAGTGGATTAAAATGTGCAGAGGACATGGCTCAAAGTAGAAAAAGGAAAAGCTAATTATTCCGACTTCATGCAAACAATAGGAGCAATGTGTTTACCTTGTAATTCGAGCCAGGTGTGTCTGTCAACGCTGACATCTCAGGCTCAATGGTCCGAAGCGAGGACAGTTTTGACTGCAGGTCCCCCACAACCATCACTCCGCCGACAGCCACAGCTGCCACCGCCATAAACAGAAAAATGACGGACATGACGAGAAAAACGTCCAGGCAGCCCCCACGCCGGCGACCGATCTTCTGAAGAGACTCAGCGTCCATTTCTGTGTTTTGGTGTCCCATGAGCAGGCAGTAGGATGTCTGAGCTTCGGGGAGACTGTCCACACAGTCCGGTTTTGAAGTTTAGCGTAAAAAAAAAAAAAGCTTCAAATTATGATAACACAAGCTTTGGAAGTTGCACAGCACCGGCTGTTGGGTGCTTTATCTCCACTAGATAGTCCTCTTGATATCATCCAGTCCAGTCGGGGTCTTGAGGTGAATGTCGAGACTGTAAGCACCATTATGGCTTTTATAGGCTATCCTACTACAGACACACTGTTCTCAGTTTCAGACAGGGAGGAAAAACGCGGAAGTCATGGGTTTCCCTATCGCCTCCTCACACACGCCCCCCTCCCTCACTGCTAGTAAAGGAGGTGAGAAAACCTAGACGCACAGACTTTCCGCAGCTCTGTGTGCTATTGCGCAAGTGCGCCCCAAGGTAGCGTGTGCGGTGGAAAATGAAAGGGAGAGAAACTGTCTCCAGCTTCACTATATTCCGACACGGCCAAACAAAGGCTCACCTTTCCCTCCCCACTTTGAACCTCCCAGCGCTGGCAAACGTGGCACAATGGAGATAAAGATAGGCTGGCAACATAATGTGAATCTGAATTTAGGCCTTTTTGTCTTAGTGGAAACGTTTGTTTGTTTGTTTTTGGGCAAGTTGATGCAGAAGAGACACGTTGAGGCAAGGGGGAGGTTTCAATCGAGAGTGTGTGTTTCATCATCAGCCTAAAAAAAGCGTCAAATCTTCAGGTTACACCTGGCGTAATTCTGGCACAACCAACTGGTTATCAAATAAGAATGTGACGGCTTGTGCGGGAATCCCCCATTGTGCGTGTGTGTGTGTGTGTGTGTGTGCGTGCGTGTGTGTGCGCGTGTGTGCGTGTGTGTGTGAACGAGAGTGAAAGTTATAAGTTGGTTTCAGTAAGGTGGAGGAGCTGGATAGGGATCTCAGGGAAAACAACAAAATATATTTACTTTCCAGAGCTCAGACCGTTGGCAGCCAATCATATTTAATCTGGTCATAGTGCAGTTGAGAGCCGGGAGAAGATGCAGGGGAATTCCCCACATCATGTGCATAAGAGGGAGAGAGTCAGGAAAGCACTCAAGACAGAGAGAGGGAAAAGAGAAGGAAGATAGATTTTCTCCGTACATTTTCCTGTTGCAGAGCAAAAAGATCGACTTTCATGTGATGCATCAGAGTACGGAAGGCAAGCCCTCTGGTGTTGCATGAAGCCACGGTAACGTGGGTTGGTATCTTAGAGCTGTCGTTTTCATTAATTAGCAGTCATTTCTCCAGTGGTTTTTTTTTCTGTAATTTCTCAGCTAAGCAGATTGTTTCCATTTTTACAATCCTCATGAATGCTCATCATGGACTCAGAGCAGCAGCTGCAGTTAAAGGACTGAGCATGTGACAGTAGGAGTGTTAAGTAGTGACATGTAGATTTATCATTGCATTTTTTTTTTTTTTTTTACAGTTCTGAAGGTTTCAGTGGGACATTTAAGTAAATGAGTAAGTTATATTGCTAAAAGTATATGGACAGACCTGTGGACACACTTGGTTGTACTTTTCTTCCTGTGCTGGGTTTCATGGTTTGGGGTAAGCCCCTTGCTTCCAGTCAAGAGAATGCTTAATACTGCAGCAGAGAATGAGGTTTTAAGAAATAGTGTGCCTCCACTCCAGGTTTGAGGCAACAGTTTGTGAACACATGGTCTCCAGAGTTTGGTGCACAGAGAGCCCTGAAATTAACCCCATTCAACACCCTCTGTATGAACTGTAATTCCAGGCCTGGTCTCCCTACATTACTGTTCTGTCACACTAATGCTTTTGTGGCTGACTGGGGACAAATCCCTGCGATTGTGTTCCAAAATCTTCACAGAGGAGCTGAAGCTGTTTTAGCAGAAGATAAATGTCCCTAAGTGTCACAATTTAAATCCATGACATTACTGACAATGACAAATGTCTTCCAATTGGTGTCAAGCTTGAAAAAATGTGCAACCAGGGTCAAGTTGATCAAGAAATAAGATGTGTCCCTCCACAATGAATCAACCTTACTGAGAAATAGTTTATTATCCTCTATGTTTGTGTCTAACAAGATAATGGTGAGGATAAAGGCAGTGGTGGTGAAGTTGCAGAATCCTTCTCATCACACTGCTGGAACTTTTAGCCACAGTAGCAGCATGATTCTATAGCGATGCTAATGTTAGTTAGATCACCACTTTGGTCCAGACTGAAATATGTATATTTGTGGCTTTGAATGAAATGTCATTGAACTATTTCAGGGATGACATTTGGTACAGAAATGAATAATTAATCATTTTCATAATCCCTTAACTTTTCAACATAGGCACAAACTTTGAACTCTTGAATACTTTTGGTTGGGTATATGACCAAATACCAGTGAAACTAATGTCATTTCCATCAATCTCAGCTGTACTTTGTATTTGGTGCTAGTTAGCAAATGTTAGCACAATTAATATGCTGCTAAACATCAGCATGTTTGTTATTGGGAGCATGTTCACATGTTGATATTGGCACTTAGCTAGAAACACAGCTGCTGTGCCCTTGCAGAGCTGCTAGCATGGCTGTTGATTAATAATATTAAAGCTGTAAATGCAGAGATGTACAGAAAGCTCGTTACGGGTGAGCAGAGGCGATGCTCCAACTGTACTTTTGGGTTTACTTTTGGTTACACTTTTGGTATTTTTACTGTATGATACAACAATTCTGGAACTGATCACCAGTGTTAAAGTGCAACTGGTGTAATTACTGGCGAGGGCCTTCCCTCCTGCATCAGGTGGTGATCGATAAAGTTCTGAGAGTTTACTCTGGGATTTGTGGTAATCACGCTCAAAAGCTCCGTGCTGATCAAAACATGATCAGCTGATCAGAGCTGCACAGTTTGGTAAAGGGAGAAATGTTAAGGGAATGTTTGTGGTTCTTACTGAAAGGGAAGTGGATGGTTATATAAAGACATTATACAAGAAGTGACGATCACTGACAAAGTTTCAAAGACATATTTAGACTACTGGTTATCTGTTCTGCTGAGATAGCTGAACCTGTCAGGGAGGACACCAACATCATCAGAATACTGTAAACACAAGTAGAAGACAAGAAGAAAAAACAGCTCTCGATAATAATCCACAAAACGGTACATGTGTAGAACACACTGAGTTGGCAGTTTATTAGGAACACCTAATGCTGTCTAATACAACAGTCCAGTTATATCAACGAGGGAAGGCTAATAACAGAAACACACCTTTGTATGACACAGTACGGTTCAGCAGCATCACAAACTACATTCAGTTGTAGTAGACGGAATGAAGTTCAGTCTAATACTTTCGCTAAGTGTACCTAATAAACTGCCGACTCACTGCATTCTGTACGTTTCAGCTGCACCTGTATATGTGAACTTCTGATGTAAAATTATTGCTGAGCAGCTGAGTGACACATCTCAACTCTGTGATCATTGTAGACCTCTTAACATGATTACGATGCAATTCATGTACATTTCCTTCCTGTGTTACATCTATACTGATTCTGTAATGCTGCTGTAAAAATCATCGCAAGTCACTGCAAAAATATTTATTCATGGGTTATTTCTGGGAACTAATGAAAATAATGTAATGAAAGTGGTAATAATATCCACCCCCACACTTACATTCCCAAACTAAATGTTATCGCAATTTTGTCTAATTCATTCGGAGGTAATTGTTGTAATGAATTATAACGATCAATTGCCATTTCTATTAATTCTGTTGAGCAGAGATGGAAAGTAACAGAGTACATTTACCCAAATACTGTAGAACATGAAGTTACTGGTAGTGACATCATACAGTTTTTGAGGCATGGTATATATAGTTCAACTGTATTACGATGCAAAGGTCATGGTGTACCTTTTAATTCACTTCATTTTTCAGAATGCTTCTTTTCTAACGTTAGTTTATGATATTTTGATCAACCAATAGTACTTTTTTTTTAACAATTCAGCAGCAGGTTTCTCTGATCCCCCTCCACCAGATCTCCTGCCCTGACACTGTCCATCAAACTGCACATCCTCCCAGCTGTTATGTATTACAAATCACATATTGTGTCTTACTAATTTCCACCTTTCTATCTATTGAATGGTTCTAGTTGGGAGGGAGGAACTCTCATTCAATTTCTTCTCCTGTGGTTTCTGCCGTGTTTTCCCATTATGTACTGAGTTTTTTGGGGGGGGGATTTTCATCTTCTTAGAAAGCGAAGGCTGCATGGGTCAGGAACCCTTGCTGTTGCAGGTCTTTAAAGCCCACTGAGACAATGTCTGTTGCAATATACAGGTAACTTTCTTCCACCACATTTACTTTACCCATATGACATAATCTAACCTCATGCTGTGTGTGTTACAAAAGTGCTTCAGTAGTTAAAATATCATGAGGAATGACAACTGAGAAAAGAGTATAATGGGAAAAAAATGCAGGGACTGTTTCTGTGTGGGAGTGATTGACAGAGATGGGGAAGTCAACATGAAACAGAGAAAATGAGAAATTTATCATTACGAGTATGACAGTTTGTAGAAGGTCATATGCTCCTGCAGTGCAGAAAAACCCATATCTTCTGTTCCCTAATGAAACTGACCAGACATGTACAGAGTATACGCACACCATCAGGTACAAACACACACAAATAAATTCCTCAAAAGTTTCCATATTTTTAAGTAAGCTTGATCTTGCCAAGAAACAACATCACTTCTGACTGTGTAGACATGCTTTCTCACGCGCACATGTGTGTGTGTGGGTAGTGATGAATTAATTGTGTTTTATTTATTTGGGATTAATTACATATGTACTGGACTTGTGATGAGATTAATCAATCTTGTTGGTAAAAGAAATCAATAGTTTTCTCAGGCCTTTGTTTTACCACCTTTCATCAGAGGAAGTGACATACAGCATTACTCAGCAAAGTGCTGTAATGTGTCATACGGAGGAATGTCTCCCTTACGGAAAATGATGAAATACCAGAGAAAAGTTGAATTGAAACAATATCATTAAACAACTGCTATAAGTGCTATTAAAAGCACACACTTGTACTTCTATCATTGTGAGGACACTGAACTGCTCTAACCTGAACCCCTGACTTTAAAACCAAGTCTTAACCCTCAAACAGTCATTTGAAGTTGTTTCAGAAAGTGATGACCGGCCAAAATGTCCACACTTTCCCAAAATGTCCAAAAATACTTTTTGGGGTCCTCACAATCTAATATTTACAAGGAAAGTACACACAAGCACACACACACACACACACACACACACGCACACGCACACGCACACACACGCGCACACACACCCAGGATTTTCTGTGGTTAGGATTACATTCTGGCCTTTTGACAAAAACAAAACAAGTATCACGATGCACTGGGCTTTCTGATAGGGAAGTCACCATCTCTCTCTCTCTCTCTCTCTCTCTCTCTCTCTCTCTCTCTGCCTCTCTCTCTCTCTCTCTCTCTCTCTCTCCTGTTTTCATATGTACAGAAATGAAAACAAAAATTGATAAGCATCAGCAGAGGATTCAAATGGAAACCTCCCTTTACTGCCCCCTACAGCAGTGAGCCTATTTATTCTAAAAGCTCTGCTACAACTGCAGCGTCAGTCAGAACAAGTGCAAACACACACTTCCCAATTCTTATCATAGAGCTAAATTACAACTCCTTTCCATACACTCATTCTTTCTTTTTCACTGCACTACTACACTATAGGAAACCATTGTTTCACATTTACCACATTGTTAAGGAAATACACATAACCAATGTTACCTAGCCTATTACATCCAATTACCCAACCTCTGACTTCACCATCAAAGAAAAGAAAAGAAAGGAAAAAAACAGAGAGATTATTTGACAAGGTCATAACACAAAGTCTGATTTCTAAACACTGGCAAAAAGTTCATACCAAAATCTAGTAATCAACCAGCTATCACAACAAGGTGGAGGTACTTACTTAATTCTCTCCATCACCTGCTAGATAAAAGGCCACAGCGCCCTCCGTCACTCCCTGTCCTTGTCACCATGTTGATCTTCCTCAGCCCGAGTTACGTTCATCTTAGCTTCCTTGAAGTTCTGTGAGTAGGTGATGATGATGAAAAGAACAGGAGTGTGATGTTTTTGTGTCTTCTGCTTTGGTTTTTTTTCCTGTTCTTGTGTGTTGAATAATGCCATGCTAAATGGCACTTACCACTTCCTTATGTGCATGTTAGTTTAGGTCCCTCCAGTAAAGTGGCACAGATGTCTTAAATAAATCTGAATATTATTGTTACTGTGATGGAGAAATTGTTAACTTAAAACCTCTGGTATATTTCTTTCATTCCCGATGGCTATGTTAGATAAAGATGCAGCAAATGATTCTCCACCAGAGCACCCATGACCTTATCTTCAGTCCATGTTTGAAGTGTTTGAAACCAAGAAAGATTTACCATGAACAAATTTAACTGCCTATAAAAATTTCCCATCTTGTTTATTCAAGATAAACTTTTAAACAGACAGCTTGTAGTAGTTGGCTGTCCTTGCGTTGATTCAGCTGAGTTTTTATGGACATTTCCATTGGCTTTGTATCATATTCTACAAAGTTTTTTATTCCACAGGTTCTACAGTCAGTCGGTTCATTTAGTAGGTTGTTTCAGAATCATTAGGTTCTGTAAATGAAAGTTGACATAAGAAAATGTAGTATACTTTTGAATTCTTGTATTGGAGTCATATTTGACCAGGAGTTTCTACTTTGACTCAAATAATGGAGTTGTGTTGTCCGTTCACCTCAGCTTTGGATCAAAAAAACAAGCTATTGTCACGGGTTTAAGGGGCAAGTAGGACCCAAATGCAGTCAACTCTTGGGAGATCGGTACGCAGAGGTTTATTTAGTAAACGTGAACGTGACATGAACAAACCCCGAACAAAACTGACGAACCAACACAGACAAAGGGGAACACAAAGACTATATAGACACAGGAGGCAAGGTGATTGCACACAGGTGAAACACATTAGGGCGGGGCAGACAATCACTACACAGAAACACGACCAAGCCAGGATGCCAAACCACTGAGACACACAAGGAACCAAATTACAAAATAAAACAGGAAGTGCCAAAAGTCCAAAACAAAACTAACAAAAGGTGTCTGCCATTGAAAAACATGACAGCTATAGCGTAGTGAGCACAGGTCCTTGGTATACAGCTTCTGTTACCGTGAGACAGAGCCAGGCTAGCTGTTTGGCCCTGTCTTTATGCTAAGCTAAGCTAACCGGCTGCTGCCTGTGGCTTCATATTTAGCGTACAGCCATGAGAGTGTATGGTATTAATCTTTTCATCTAACTCTCAGCAAGAGAGTGGATAAGTGTATTTCCCGAAATGGCATGGCATTGCTGATCGGTAAATATGTAATTCAAGGCTTTTCTTGGTCAGTTATAAGCCATTGATAAGAACTTGAAAGTTGCTGAACATTGACTTATAACTGATCTATAAATCAATAGCAAATGTATTTATTACACATTAATACCTTTTACAAGGTAGGCTAGTCCTCTGAAGTTCACATTTTGCCTACTTTTTACTGACATCCAGTTTAAGCGAGCAACTTGGTTATGTGATCAAAGAAGTCAAGGAAGGAGTCAAGTCAGGTATCCAACAATTTGTATAAATTGTATATTATAACAAAGTGTATAATATCTGATTCTCGAGTAAGTCTATAATAAGGGATGTTGAGGCTATTTACTTGGGATTTAAGATTAACATAAAATGGAGGTGAAAGGTGAATCGGAGTGATGGAGAAATACCTCCCAGATCTTTATCATGCGGGTCAACCATCGTCACCCGTGACACGTTAGATGATGCAATTGATGCTCTTTCTCTCCTATTTTACAGCCCGGTCATATTTTACCTAATAGGCCTACTGAATGTGCAGAGAGAGAGTGAGACAAAGAGAGAGACAGACAGACAGAGAGAGAGAGAGAGAGAGAGAGAGAGAGAGAGAGAGAGAGAGAGAGAGAGAGAGAGAGAGAGAGATCTTATCCCCGAGTGTCTGTTTCGCAACCAGTCTGGAGTTTTCCGCTCCACCGTGGAGCATATCTTCAAGGTGACGGGCACCCTGCAACGAGTCGGGACGAGCCCTGCAGACTCTGTGATGACATTAAAGATGCGTAAAAAAGACATTTTTCTCTGACAACTAAGCATCAAGTGCTGCTGGGCGCACATTAAATACTCACTTGCGGACTTGCTTCCAGTGTCCCTGTGGCTCTGCACATGAGTAGTTCAAGGGCGCTCCCAAGTTTCTGATGCCAACAAGTTTTTTTACTCCGTGCCAGTCGTCATGTTGGATAAATTTGGGCCGCAGAGCACCGGTGTGGTCGTCTCCAGCGCGGACCTCCAGCTCAAACTGACGGACAACAAGAGCAGCCTGGCCGCAGCAGCGGGGATGGGGATGGAGAACGGCACTGGGAAGAAACTCATAGAGATAACTGGACCGGCTTTATCCAAAAGAAAACTTCTGGTCGGCTTAGACCTCCTGTGCCTCTTCCTTGGTAAATATCAAGACAATGCCTACAACAAAAATATTCAAGATCTGTTTGAATTGTTGAATGCTACACGTCATGCTTTTATTGGTTGAGGGATAACAACATCACAAACACCTGTACAATATCATGCACTCCAACAAAATAGCAGTGCCATTAATACCACAACGTGTCTGTGTATCAGTTTATAATTGCTTCTCATACAACTCCGTGGTCCGCGTTGAGATCACGTGGTGTGAGGTTATTGTTTGCACTGGAATGCATTACATTATAAGCTCTTTCTGTTATTTTGTCCATCCATGCATAAGATGTGAATATGCGTTTATGCAGATTACATAAATACTGGCACTGATGGGGGGCTGGGGGGCTATTCATACTGAACTTTAAAAACTATTTGGCACATTTCATGGCATCTAAAAATCAAAATGAATTAACTGAGAGAATACTTGGCAGACTAACTGACAATGAATCACACACCGTTGTATTCAGCAGGCTTATCAATGATTCTTATCTGTGTCTACTACAGGTGGAATCCTCTACATACTTGCTATTCCTTCCTATTCAGGATAACTGTGGTGAGGGTAAACTTCAACCTTCATTTAGTCAACAAAGACAGTCAGGGGCTAAGTTCAAGTATGATGATCAGACATGTGGGCCTGCAGAATATTATGCAGCATATTAACTCCAGGTTTGTGAAGAGACGGGAAGAAAGAATGGTAGGAAAAAGGACAAGGGGGAAAAAAGAAAGAAAGTTTTTTTTCCCAAGTCCTAGCTCTCTTCATCGACATGTGTCTCTGGCCATGTTTTTTTTTTTTTTTTTTCACTCATGCACGCTCTCGAGCTCCCCGTGCCAGCTGGCTCGTGCATTGCCCAGGGAATTCTACAGTTTCCATGACAACCTCCAGTTCTCAGGGTAGAGCCAGGCCAGGGGGAATCGTATTTGGTATAAATAAATAAATGCACGAGTACAGTGTGTGTGTGTGTGTGTGTGTGTGTGTGTGTGTGTTCCCATGTTCCCTATATGTGACAGGAGGGTGGTTATGTAATACTGGCTAATTGGAAAAAGCTGGACGGAGAGGTAGTGTGTATTAACAACAGATTGGACATGTGCAAAAGAGAGGGAGCCTTGCAAGAAGTCTTTTTTTCTCTGTCTGTCTGTCTTTCTCTCCCACCCCTCTCTCTACAGTGCGTGTGTATGTGCAGGCATGCAGGACAGAGAGAGAGAGGGAGAGAGAGAGAGAGAGAGAGGGATAGAAGGGAGGACACCCAGAGACAAACAGAGACAGTGAGTGACTGGCTCTGGCCCTGGACTGCTGCGGCATTTGCTCTTTGTTTTGTAGGAAAGAGTTGAACTGGAGTCACAAACAACTCCCCTTTTCTCTCCTCATCAACAGAAATGCAGACACGCACACCAAACACACACACATGCGCAGTTCAAACTCGGTCTGTGTTGAGCTCTGCCTTCTTTACTCCTCTGTTTCCAGTCTCAATGGATTCGGTCTGTATTCAGTCAGGAAATGGGAGCTTTCTGCAGTTGCTTGGGCTTATTTGGTCCCGGTGGAGCAGAGTTGTGACCCTTACATTCCTAATAGTTGTCTAACTAGTTAGGTTCTCAAGAGAAAATTCTCGGTTCCCACCCTTGTTTTGTTGTAAAACTACTCCTTGTTTGACCCCCTCCCCTTTCCTCAACCTCCCCATGTCATCTTTCCTGTCAGCATTGAATTTCTCTCTTATTTTTGTTTTAGACCTTGATATTTTTATTTGGGATTAAGGAGATACTTAGTGAGTTTCTTTTTGTGTGACAGCTGAGTAGCACTGAGTATCTCTTGTGCTCAGGGCAAGAACTTTCCAGTTCTTCTCCATCACCCCATCTCAAACCTCTAGTTTTGCTTCTCTTTTCTCTTCCCTCATGTCCTCTCCAGTATCTCATCACAAAGAGGAATATCTGTACTTCCACTGAGGATTGTTGTAATATCAAATCATATCTTTCTTCATCTAATACCTTTAATCTCCCTCTTCCTTCTCCTCCTCCTCGTGTGCAGCCTCCATCCCTTTCTTCGCGTGTGAGCTGAAGGCGGTGAGTCCTTACAGAAGGGGCTTTATGTGCGGGGACACCAGCATCACCTATCCTTACCTGCACCGAGAAGCCATACCAGATGAATTACTCATCGCCGGTGGCATCATCATCACCGGCCTCACGGTGAGTACGCATCATCCCCCGTCAGAGCAGTCAGTCTATTATTCATCGTACACCGTGTCCCAGCTCGTGATGAGGAGTTATGAGGAGAATTTAATATGCCGTTTATGTGTTCACCCCCAGATCGCCCTTGGGGAATGTTACAGGGTGCGTTTCCGAGGCGTCAGCTCCAAGGCCTTCGTCAGGAACCTGTATGTGTCCTGTCTGTACAAAGAGCTGGGCTGCTTCCTGTTCGGCTGCTGTGTCGGCCAATCACTGACCAACATGGCCAAGCTGAGTGTGGGCCGGCTACGGCCACACTTCCTGTCTGTGTGTGGCGTCACCTATGCATCACTCAACTGCACACCGGGAAGCTATGTTGCAACAGTGAGCTGCCGCCAGCCTGATCACCGGTTAGAGGAGGAGGCCAGGTATGAATGTGTGTGCGTGTGTTTTTATGCAGGTGTATTATGAACTGTACTTTTGTTCTGTGTGATAACTTTGAATATATCTCCATTTTTGTAGGAAGTCCTTCTTCTCTGGCCATGCCTCCTTTGCCATGTACACAATGCTCTATTTAGCAGTGAGTATCTCTATCTCTTTATTGCTGTGTCTCTTTTACATATTTTCTCTCTCTCTCTCACACACACACACACATACACACACACACACACACACACACACAAACACTGGCAAACCCATTTAATGTCTCTCCAATTTCCAATTACCATCTCTCTATAAAATGCAAAGAGAGAATGAGCGAAACACGGACCCATCATCAGTCCAGTTTGCAGCGAAAAGCGAGAGAATGAAAGAGGAGAGGGAGAAAGAGAAGGATTGAATGGAGAAATGGGACAAACAGAGACAGCTTTGTTCTGCTGTGGGAGGAGTGTGACCTCGCCTCACCGCCTCACTGCTCTCCTCTATTGTATGAGTGTGTGTGTGTGTGTGTGTGAGCTCCTGCATTTATATGTGTATATGAAAGCCTGTGTTTGTGGATGCAAGTGCCTGCATATGTGAATGTGTGCATACTACAGTACATATCTGTGTGTGTGTAATCTTGGCTTGCCTGTCTGTGTTTACTCTCCCCAACTGTTCCGAACATCTAACTTCCTCATGTTACTAAAGTGCTCTACCACAATTAGTGAGGGAAGGAGAATGACTTATTGATTTACCAATAAGCAACGACAAGATTGTTCATCTTCATTTTCATCACACCTCGAGACATTAGAAGCTGCATCGCTGATTACTGTATACGAGACACAGTGGATCTCACCAATCTATAGGGAGAAAGGAGAGATAAAGATGGGTGATAAAGTCAAATTAAAACCAATGTAGTAAGGTTTTTTTCAGGAGAGATGAGACCAGCTTCACTGTTCCTTATCAGAGATTCTCAAAGTCTCTGGACCTCGCTGGAGGGATGAACAAAACATATTCCCTCATTTGATGCTCTGATGATGATGGTGATTCATGCTGTGTAATGTGTTGGAGTTAGACAGCACTATAAATCTCTTCTATTTGACTGGGTTGAGATCAGGTGGCTGTGAAAGCTATAGCATATGAGTCTCATTATTTCTTTGCTCATCAAACGTGAACCATCAGTCATTTCCCTTAATTTGTCACATTTCTGTCTGAATTCATATTTAAATACCTGCTGTCATATCTGAAATAAAAGCCAATATTTAAACACTTGCCCCAACTAGAATTAATAATTGAGTGAGGACAGTGTTCGTGTTCAAAAACATGACTCATAGCAGCAGAGCACGGTGTCATGCCTGTGCTCTGCAGTGATGGAGCTACAGGTAAATATGGAGTGCTCAGTAAATAGTAATAATAGCGAATTAAAACAGCAGGAGATCAGGAAACAAGGGGATGCTTCGCAAATAAATGGTGAAATACACTTGTAAAGACTTGTACAATTGTGAATAAAGTTATGGTGACCCTATCGTTCTATGCACTAAATGACAGTATTTGTTTTTGTGATGCAGTTTTACCTGCAGGCGCGGTTGACATGGCGTGGGGCTCGGTTGCTGCGGCCGGCGCTGCAGTTCTTCCTGGTTTTGCTTGCAGTCTACACAGGTCTGACCCGCATCTCTGACTACCGGCACCACCCGTCCGATGTGCTAACAGGCTACATACAGGGAGCCCTCACTGCTTACTGGGTGGTCAGTATTCCTGCTCTGCTTGTGTTTTTTTTTTTTTTTTCGTCAGTGTGTTTCCACATAGTCAAAGTCTGTTAAAATTCTTATATGAGCATGTTTTTTGTTTTGTTTTTTTCTCTGTGTTTGCAGGCCTTCCACATCTCATCCATGTTTAAAAGCTCCGGTTCAGATCTGTCTCCAACTGAGACTCTGGACACCCCCTTGTCACCCCACCATACTGTCTGCTAAACCTCACCTCCACCCACCCCTGCCTCTCCACCTGCTGCCCGTAGTCTGGCTTGGATAGACAAGAGAATGTGAGACCATTTCCTGTGAAGTCAAACCACATACCTCAGTATTCAGACAGAGAGTAGGACAGAGAGAGAAAGAGTAGAGTTTATGAAATCTTTTATGTGGCTCAAAAGAGAGGACATATGAACTGCGAGTCAGGAAGAGGGAGGGTGCTGAAAACTGTACCGGCTGCTCGGCTGGTGTGTTGTGTTGGAAGCAGCCTGAGAATGTGACCTTTTCGTCCTTGTGACTGACCTTAACTTCACATGTGATACTTACCTGTGAGCTGAGACTGAACACACAGCAACCACTACCACTCTACACACCACCTGTAAATATATACAGCTTTTGTACAACTCAAACGATACTGTAAAAGCACTTTTTGATTTCCATGTTAGTATTATTAATTACCACTTTGTAATGATTTGGTATGTAGAATGTGATATATTTTATACATGTAACATATCTAGTAGCTGTTTTTTGTTTTGTTTTTTTGTTTGTTTGTTTGTTACATAAACCCAGTGAATGTATTGGTTTTGAAGAAAGCACAAGTAAGCATGCAAGCAACTCATTCTCCTCGTGTTGTACCATTAAGATGTGGTAGGATGTGTCCGTCCGTCTGTGTGCCGTATGTCACATATGTAGTTTACTGATGAGAAAATGACTATGAGAATGTCTATAGAATATAATACATATTGGAGGAGTAGGCTACTTATGCTACTAGTTGTATTTATAATAATATGTATGTTGTTAGGCTACTTACCAGTCCAAGAGCACACACATCATTAAAGAAGGTGATTTTTTTTAAAGCCATGTCTCTTTAAGTTCAGTTTGTGACTTCTTTCTAAAAGCGTTATGGTCAATTTGACCATTTAAACATTTTTACATGTTATTGCATGATCTTTTAAAAGATCATTACTGCCCATCCTGAAGTTCAAAACAGAGTTTTTGAAAATGCTCCACTATGTTTATCAGCAACTCACTTACTTTATATGACTGCCTTTATGTGGTGAGCAGGCAGCATATAGTAGGTTTATCAGAGCTTTTTGCTGAAAATGCATATGGCGGCTGGAAACAAGGTACATGAGAACGATGAGACAAAACCCAAATATGAAAGCTGCAGGCAGGAAAACCGAAACAATGAGCTGAACGAATCTAAAATGCTCCATAGAGCCTAGGGGACCTGCAGTCAGGTGATAACTGTGTAGGTTCATCACTATAAGTGACACCTTTCATATTACACATTGTCATTTGACCTACTATTTTTCATATATCAATATTGATTAGTGCAGCTTTAAGTAAATATCTCAAACAGCTTCAGTCATATTTATTACCATTTGAATTTTTCAGGGTATCAACTGCTGTTTAACTTCTAATTATTTATTAACCATAGTTTCAATAATTCAGTATACTGTTTAGTGCTTACTTCACTGCCTTTACTGTCACATGTTCACTCCTCTGACCTTTTACTTTTTTATAACAGGCATTTTCTTCTTTTCTATTCGAGTTATATAACTATCAGTAATCACTAATCAGTTGATGACTGTAAATAGCCTGGCCACATTCCTCTGCTGTTTCTTATAGTTCTAGCTGGTGTTCGAGTTTTTTCTCTTTATTGTGCACCTCATCTCTTTCTCCTCCTTTCCTACTGTAGATATCTTTCTCCTTTTTCTGAAAGCCTCCATCTCTATATACATCCACACAAACAGAAAGACGAAAACATTTATTTCACATGTTTACTTGAACTTCAATAGCAATACAAGACAATCAGAACACTTGAGGTCGATATGTACAAGGATCTCAGGGGGTTGCAGAAAAGTTCTGAGGTTTTATATGATCTCTGGCTCTGGAGTCAAGAGTTCTGTTGCTATGACAAACTCCATGGCAACGAGTCCCATCACCAACAGTTAGTGGCAGGTGGAGGTGGGAGGAGGGGGCGGAGCTTTTGGTCTTGATGTGAAATGGGATTGGTCAAGAGTTCAAAATCAGAAGGAGGGGATGTGTGTAAGAAGCCCCCCAATTGATGTTGATAAAATGCTTCACTGTGATACATTAATTATACAAGAATGATGTATATACACACACACACACACACACACACACACACACACACACACACACACACACACACACACACACACACACACACACACCCTTTCGCACACGCATGCTCATCAAGCTAGACACACACTCGCATGTACTCACACACACACTTTCCTCCTACAGTATGTAGCCTTGTAAAGCCACTATAAAGTCATGCACATGTTCTTTGAAAGGATTTTTTGGCAACACACAAGTGCTTCTTTGACACACTGTTTGCTTGCTACAGGGAGGGGCAACACCCAGCCGATGAACCAATAGAAACTTAGATGATGGGCCAATAAGGATAAGCACGGATGAGACGGGAAGACACAGCAGGGTTTTCAGGAAAGAGAGGAGAGGGTGAGGAAGAGGAGGAGGAAGAGTTAGAAATGGATCACAGTCATAGAAAAGTAACAAAACATGGAGAGGGGGAAGTCTCGTGGTGATCGGGAGATAGAAGCAGGGAGGAGCCATCACGGTCACTATCATCATCATTACTTTCTTCATCCCTCATCATTATCCTCTTTATCATCATATGCATCATCATTTCCATCAGTTTGATCATCGCTATTTGTTGTTATTATCACCATCGTCCTTCTCCTCCTTGGTTTCTATGCCCCGATCACCACCGCCCTAGTCACAGGCTCGTCACCCGCTGCATCTGTCCGTCCTCTCCCTCAGAGGTGGGCTCTGCTGTGTACACTGCCTCTCCATTGGACGCCAGCGGCGGCGGCTGGTAGAAGGTCTGCAGGTGATTGGGCCGTGGGCCCAGCGGGGGTCGCCCCAGGCTGTAGGGCAGTTCCAGGGCGGGCCGCTGGGGCTGGCCAGTAGGGCTGACCTCTTCTGGACCTTCGGGGCTGCTGTCGGGGTACGAGAGGGTCGGAGGGGATGTGCGAGTGTAGAAGCGAGGAGGGGAGCTGCTTCGGCTGTACACCTGGGGGGAGTGTCGGGAGTAGAGGTTGTTGGGAGGCGAGTTGGTGTCTCGTGGAGCGAATATATTTGTCGGGGGAGAGCTTCGGGGAAAGATGCTGAGTGGCGGCGAGCTTCGGTCCCCGGGGTAGAGCGGGGAAGGGTTTGAATCTCTGGCGTAGATTGGTGAGGAGTCAGGATCAAGGTCAAGATCAGGCGTCAAAGGCAGAGCGAAGCTGTCAGAATCCTCTCGTTCGCCATGATACCGAAGAGGCGCTCTATCTTTCCCTCTTTTCCGCCCATCTAGACCTCCATCTTTGCTCTCAAACAGGAAAGATTCATCCCTGTCTATATCTATCCCTCCTCTCCACACGTCCAGTGCTCTATCCTTCTGTTTCTCATTCTCTCGTTCAACCCCTGCCCTCCATCCATCTCTGTCTTTTAAAAACAGGGTTTCTTCCTTCTCTCTCTCCATCCCACCTCTCCATCCATCAAGCCCAAAATCTTTCTTCTGGGTTATGAAAGTCTCTTCCTGCTCCGCCTCCGCTCCTCCTCGCCACACCTCCATCCTTCCATCTCTCTTCTCCAGAAGATGAGGTTCCTCCCTCCCTCTTTCCATGCCACCTCTCCACTCCTCCATCTCTCCATCTCTCTTCTGAGAGGTAAAAGACTCGTCCCTCCCTCTCTCAGCTCCTCCCCTCCATTCGTCCATCATTCCGTCCCTTTTCAAGAGAAATGTCTCGTCCTTCTCTCTGTCTTGGCCGCCTCTCCACGTCTCTACACCTGCCTCCCTCTGTTTCATCAGCAGCGGCTCTTCCAGAGCCTTGTACAGGGGCTCAGACTCCTGTGGGGGAGGGGGAGGGGGAGGCGGGAGGGGCCTGTCCCGGTAACGATCCCGGTCTCTCTCCCTGTCTCTGTCCGCCCCTCCGCTCGACTCCACTGTGCTGCGGTGGCGAGACAGAGTACCAGGAGTGCGGCTGAGGGTGGAGTAGGGCCGAGCCTGAACATCAGGGGGACGTGCTTGCTGCCTGTCCTGGAGCCCGCGGCGACCCAGAGTGCCTTGCAGCTGCGACCTGTCCCCGTCTTTAAGCAGCTCACGGGACTCAGAATCTCCAGAAACGCGTGCGTGGGACCAGCCATCTTGTAAGCGTGGCGTCGTGGCGTGATCTTGTCCACGTGTGGTGGAATGCGTCTCAGCGTCTTGTGTGTGGTGCCTCGTATGCGCCCAGCCCTCTTGTGCGTTGTGGCGTGTGTTTGGCTGCATGGTGGCAGCCCAGCCCTCCTGGGTTGGCTGTGCGTGTCGAGTTAGTGTGGCAGTGTGAGTGAGAGCCGCCCTGTCGTGGTGGTGAGGCCTCGCCAGGCTTCCGTAGCGCTCGGGAGGAACAGGCATGGGGACCGAGGGCCTCAGGTTGCTCTGCACCAGCTCTGAGATGATCATCTTCTCCAGCGCGGCTGCATCAGACAGGTTACGGCGCATTCCGGCACTGCTGCCCAGATCTGTGGCCCCGTGGGGGGTGAGGAGGGCTGGAGAGATGTCATCCCCTCCTATCCCAACTCCTCCCTCCCTCAGAAGGTCAGTGCTGCCCACCACTCCGGCTCGGGACCCGGGTGTTGTCCCCAGACCATGCAGAGTGAAGGTGTTGGGGGTGTAACCTCCGTTGAGACACACACTGTCCAACCCACAGGGCTCCTGACTCTGGGACACACCACCCTCTGTTAGGAGAAACAGAAGGGGGGCAATTACAAAAGGACAGGGACACTATTAGAGATTTACATGAAGAGATGGGCATGAGTGAATGTACGAATGAATGAGCAGAGTTTAGTGTTCCTGTGTCTACTGAGGGTGCGGATTTACCAAGAAGATTTGAGTATTAACAATATTATTTGATGAAATGTTTGGTGCGCAGCCACATGGAGGAGATGTATATTATGTCTTCATGGTCTATGAATAGTTACTGTGTGCAGATATTGCACAGATAGTCTATGAATTGAACCACAGTGCACAAGGAAGTGTCGCTCAATGACTCAAGTGAGCACAATAAAGGAGCTCATACTCTGCTTGTTTCTGAAGGTTCCTACTGCTCCACGTTAAGACAGAGAGACAGAGAGGGAAAGTGTCAAAGAACATTCAAAAGACAAACTATTCAAACTCAAAAACTAAAATCAGAACGACAACAAAAACATTTGAGCTTTATATTCCAAACATTCATACTGTACAGAAACAGAAACGTGACAAACCCTATTGTGCAAAAGGCTTACACCACTTAACAGGCTTTAAATAGACATTCTTCAGTGAGGCCTAAGAGTTTTGCAAGGTACTGTGTGTGTACACAGGTAAAAAGACAGTCAAAGATACCCACATAAAGAAAGAGAGTGATAAGAATAGAAACTGAAGTACCACAGAAAGCTGTAATGAGAGGTACCTGTGGAGGTGAAAGGTTGATTGTATCCCTGGGCCAGCATCGTGTCATAAGGAGAGGCTCCAGCATGAGTCTGCAGTACTGGATTAGTAAGGAAGTGGTTCCCCAACGGAGCTGAGAATGGAGAGGGAGAGAGGGAGAAAAATAAATGTCACATCCTTCAGCCCACAGGGGGGACAATGCTGAGATTTAAAAGACAAATAAAAATGATCTTCACCGCGGTTAAGAGTGGGAGTGTTGTTCACGTCTGCAGCGATGAAAGAAGATTCAGTCTGTCTGCGAACAGTGTCGTTCCACATCCTCCTGATGCGACTCTGGATCAGAAATATTTCACACAAGGTCAAAATCTGACTCAGACAGAGAGACAAAGACACAAAGAGGCACAGAGTATTGCAGTGCACCTGTCTGTTAGCAGTGGCTCTCCGACTCTGGCTGCTGGTGTACCGGCTGTTGGACCGCAGGGCAGAACCCTTCACAGAGTCTGGAGAGCTGGAAGAGGAAGTTGCACAGCACTGCGAGAGACGCAGGCATCTGCCATAGTCCTTTTGGCCCTGCACACAATATTCAAAGACGAAACTTATTAGTTAAATCGTTGACAGACGGAGAGACACGTGCAGGAACGTAATAACATCCACACAGAGCCTGACCTTCCTGGCGAGGCTGCAGTGCAGTATGGTGATGAGGAGGCCCTGGGCGGTGTTGAGGGAGGAGAAGAGATAAGCCAGGAGGAGAGACGGAGCAGACAGGAACATCAGGCCTGAGGACCATGTGACGCTCTGCAGGAAGAGCAGCGTCAGGGAGCCCACCGCCCATGCCCTGAAGAGACACCGGAGGAAGAGGACACAAATGACATTTCTTTTTCATTCACACAAACTAGTTTGACAAAAGTTCATTTAACTAAATCTATCAGAGAGTTATTTTTCATTACATTCTTCTGCTCTGATACTCTTGAAATCCAGAAGTTTCAACTGTTAAACTATTTCACAAGGCAGCTGAAGAGCTGGGTGCATGTAATTGATGTCAAAGTTTACATGCTCAAATCTTCCTGAATGCTCCCATCAGCCAGCTCTCGTGTTTAAAATAAAAACTGAAGAAATTGAATAAAAGAGGATTCAGACAGATTAAGTGACATTACTAACACCGACTGTAGCTTTCCTTTTATCCTTTCTTGAATGCAAGTTCTTTCCTCTATTTTCCATCTATACAGCTTTGCTGTATAAATGTTTGATTAACCTTGCTAAGGTTGAACCTTTTCTTACTCAAAAGGATGCCGTGACCACATAGTTCACGGAGCTGTCGAGACTGCTGCAGTGCATTTCACTCTGGCTTTCCAAAAGCTGTACTTGACTTGAAACTATTCAAAATGCTGCTGTTCAACTAAGAGCTAGAGCTTCACTGTGTTACATCTGTTTGATGTTTTCACATTTGCTTTGGCTACATGTCTCAGCTAGAATGAGTTTTAAATATTTCAATTAAATACTAAGCTCTAAGTGGACCAACTTCCTCATTAATAACAGACTGCAGTTCAAGAACATTCATTTTAAACTAATTTCTACACTTTTCTTTATTATTTTTTTTTTGGTCCAGTGTAAAGCATAGCATGAAATATTGAAATTACAAATGGCTTGCAACAGATAGGGCCTGTTATGGTTATAAATTTAACTTTTTTGCTAATAACTGGAGCCAAAGCAACTGAGACACAATGAGCTCTACACATAATCACCCACAAAAGATCAGCATGAGGCACTATACTAACCTCAGGTTGTCATGGCGACTGGAGTCCGGCTTCAAAGCAGCAGTGCTGTGCATCTTATGTAAGGTCATCACCAAGACAACGAGGTTCAACTGAGGCCAAAAAGGACAAATACCAATTTATACAATTATAATGAATCATCATGATCAATCATCAATCATTATATGTTGATGATCCAATAGGAGATATATGAGAAGTCTGTGTGAGCGTGAACGTGAACTCTCACCGTTATGACGACAGCAACGGGTCCAAGGAAACTCCAAATGAAGTAATTGTCTGTTCGTAGCCAACATCTACACACACACACACACACACACACACACGCACACACACACACAAACAAATCAAATCACAGGCAAATAAGACCCTCCAAAATAACAAAGTCAGTCTAGGAGCTGACACAGGAATATACATTTTATCAATAACTGTCCCCAAACAAAAATGCACACACACACACACACACACACACACACACACACACACACACACACACACACACACACACACACACACACACACACACACACACACATTAGTCAACTTACGCAGTCTTTGAGCCGTAGCCTCTGAAGTCTATAGCTGCAGACACGGCCACCACCAGTCCAGGAATAGAGTAGCCACATAGGTAGAAATACTTCCTCCTGGAGTTACGTCCCTCAAATACCTCCCGCTGCAGCAGGTACAGTTCCACCCCCTCCAGACACAACCAGCAAAACACTGAGAGCAGCGAGAAGTGCAGCAAGCCAGCAATGATGGAGCACACAACCTGTAAATGTGAATAAAGGAAGAGTGGAATAATGAGTGACAGAACGACAGGAGAGCAACAAAGGAAAAATCTGTGATTGTCACTAAATCATTTATGCAAACAATTCACACAATACTTTAGGCTACAAAACGCTGCTTTACAAACCCTATAAACTATTGTGTGATATCATAATATTATCCTTGATATTATAAATTGTTATTGTTTCCCACTGCTTAGCTACTTTATGTTGTGTATCAGTTCAGGTTCTCACTGTAACTCACTGTATATTGTGTCTTGTTGGCGCCGACAAGGAAGAGTAGTTCAGTGATGAGCAGGTTGGCCCACAGGTTGCAGTGGATGGTGCTGTGGTCTGTGTGCCAAGGTGCCCCCTGGCAGCACAGGGTTGTAAGGCAGGTGGCCAAACACACCAGTGCTACAGAGATGCCAACCCAAGAAACCACATAGACCAGAAGCTCTTCTACACCGGCCCCAAACTGATAAAGCACACAGGAAAGAAAGTGCAAAGAGGTTTATCGAGATGTTTTTTTTTTTAAAAAAAGCATGTGAATGTGGGAGCTTGTGTAGATGCAGGTTTTATCAGCATCTGTGGATGTATTTTGCGGTTGCGGTGTGGATTGCTCGTGTGTCTTTGTGTAAAATGAACAAAATCACACTCAACAAAGAGACTTTCCAATTTCCTGTCAGGACATAATACCCTGCAGCATTTCTCACTCCCTCTCTCTTTTCAAGAGCACAGTGGGGATGAGGTCCAGCTGTGCTACAGTAAATGAGTGCATAAGGGTGGAGGACTTTGGAGTCTGAAGATGGAGGTAGATTTACAAAGTTAAAGTTTGGCTGCTGGCCGTCTAAAAAGAAAGCAATAGCGGTAATAATGCGTATCATGGGTCTTTCAAACTCTCGATCTAATCACCACCTTGGTACAAATTCAAAAAGCACAGAAAAAAAGAGTGCTTTCAGTGCTGACAGAAGCTTCACAGAAACACAACTCAAGCCACAAAAAAAAAAAAATCTGCTTTCGGTCTGCCATGAACACTGTTACGTGCTGTTTTTGTGGCGTGTGTCACTTACTGCGGGTTGCTGGTACGTCATGAGCACAGCATAGCTGGACAGGTGGTTGCAGGCGCAGGTAGTGTGTGTGTTGTTGGTGTGTAACAGGCGGCAGCCCTGTGTAGACCACCTGCCGCTCCCAGATACACCTGATGCGTTCCAGAAAGAGCAGTTCGGGCCAAAGTGGTTCTCCAGCTGGAGAGACGAACGCACCAAAACACTCAGTGACCAGATTATGCACAGTGTCAGGAATTTGCTCATTCCTGGTATTTTCGTTTTCAGGTAAACAGATTTCCAAACACACCTGCAGGTGCCTGAGAGTGAAGATCACCGGCTCGGAGAGGTACACTCTGTTGGATCCTCTGTGCACAGAGGCAGAGATCACATGGGAATTGACCACCAGGCTCTTACGCCTGACCTCTGACCCCTGGCCCAGTCCCAGCCCGAGCCGCAGAGTGGAGTTCTGTGTGGTCAGGAAGGAGCCCAAGTTCTTAAAGAGAGAGAGGACCAGCTTCACCTGGCCTGCAGAGGCAGACAGAGGACAACATTTCATACATTCAAGAGAAGACATTTAGACATTTATATCATATTTAATGATGTTTGGAGTTTTGATGCATGAAGAAGAACTAGTATTACTTCCACAATCCATTACAGGTCCTATAATTGGTCTACTAGCTTTATGCTGATAACACTGAGAGCTACATGTACAAAATGTTGATGAGTTTCATTGCGTGCCACAGACCATTGTTGCTGTACTGTTGCAGAGCCAGTGCTGATATCTGCAAGATGCTGTCGCTGTCGTAGGAGTGAGGGAACGTCAGGTCCTGTATGTCTGCCTCTGTATTTAGCACATACACCTCCAGATCTGTGCACACACAGGAACAGACAAGCACAAAAGTCTGAATGAGTTGGTGAATTCCACAATGTGTGAAGCAAAAACAGCTACGAAACAGAAAGACTACATACCAACATTCGGTGCCCTGTCACTGAACCGGCCTTCATAGAGGTTGTTAGCCAATAGAAACGCCCCTTTCTCTACTGCGTCCAACAGCAGTGATGCAGAGCGTGATTGGTCAACACCGCTCATATCTGCCCAGGACACCAGAGCCTCAGGACCCAACAGATTATCAACTATTTGAACGACAGCCTGAAAAAGAGAAAGCCAGACAATCATTAATCAATCTGTCTGTCTGTCTGTCTGTCTGTCTGTCTGTCTGTCTGTCTGTCTGTCTGTCTGTCTGTTCATAGTTTACCTGAACATAAGCTCTGCAGGTGCGTTCCCTCTTCTGCAGCTGAAAAGAAAAAATGAACCAGACATTTATTGTTAGAATCATCATCACTGACATTTCTGCTTTCATTTCCAGGAAAGGTCAAGTAAATATCCACACTGACAACGGGAACAATTTACCTTGTTGTAATTGCGTGCTGCAGATTCTTTATTGGCTGGTCTCAAGGCCTGGAGCTGGGAGTCCAGGATGTCCAATAGCTGTTCAATTAGCTTGACGGACATGCTGACATCACCAGCATAGATCCGCCCCCGCGTCAGGTTGACCAACTCCCCAGCGATGTTGGCTGCGTTCTCTCCGCTTTTAATCTAGAGTGAGAGAGTGGGGTGGGGGTGGGGTGGGGGGCGGGGGTGTTTATAATGTCAAATATTTTAACATTTAAGAGGGAAGTGCTTGCTGACTGGTTTTAGGGCATTTGCACAGCGTGTGTCTTTGTGTGTATTTATGAGTGTTTGTGTGAGACTAACCTTCTGTGCAATTTGGCTGACCCAGGGAGAGGTGCAGTTGGAAAGGTCAGGCCCTCTGGAGCTCCAACCCACTGGAGACGACATGCACTGATAGGAGGCTATACCTGCAGAGACAGATGGGATGATGTTTTACAGGACCTGAGGTGGTTTGTGACTTCTGTTTCTCCTTACACTTATTTTCCCCTGCAACTTTAAACCTCACATGCAGCCCAAAAATTCTAACAACATTTTGGTACAACATTTTTTGGGAGCACATTGTGTTGTTTAGAAGAACTGTTACTTTATGGAATTTTCATTAACACGAAATGACACAAATGAAAAACGAAATTTGTGTCTTTTGGAGTCAAAGTAACGGATACGAACAATAGTGTTTGAGTTTTGCTTTGGCTTTTCATACAAAATGTGAAGCTGCGTTAAAAGATTTTTTTGCCACTTTATAAAAACTTTATACTAAGGTGAAGAAAAAAAATACAGACCTTGAACAAATTAGCATTTTATAATGTTATAGTTAAAGTGTTAGCAAGAAAAACAAACAGCTGATTTATACATCCAAGAAACATGGAGCAACATTAGTATTCATTTGGAGTCATGCTTGTGTCCACCTGATGAATATAAGTACAATATTCACTCTCCTTTCAGCTTTGTTTTGGTCTTCATCATCTCCTGACAAAAGCAGTCACAGTAAATGTACTGTCAGAACAAAACTACGGGCTAAAAGAGGCTAAAAGACTCAGCAGAGCAGCAGTGTAGCACTTCATCTGATCTGTTTCAATGTTGATACATTTCTATTTTGTTTATAAGATATTTACTGAAACACAGAACTAGAGCGTCTAGTATAGACCATTTCTGCAAATTATGTGCAAGCATAAGACAAAAGCTACACCTGTTTTCAGTTATAAACACAATTTTTAAGATTACATAATGCCCCGGTGCGATCACCACCTCTGTGCTAAACCCAAGTCCAGCATGATTAGATGGAGGCAAAAAGCACCGCAGGCTTATCTACATAATCTGCATAACAGCCTCTCCTCAGAGGGAGCACTGGGCTGAGGAAGACAGCTGCACAGCGAGAGGAAGAGTTGATGAACCCACCTCCCCTCAACACAATAACCTCTCTATTTCTTCTTGTGTCTCATCTGAAGGCAAGTTCAAAGAGAGGACACCTGACTACATTTCAAAGGGAAACGAGATACAGAAACACACATGAAAATTTCACACACACACACACACACACACACACACACACACAAGCACACACACACACACACACACACACAAGCATACACACACACACAACGTAACACACAGACTGGCACGCTCACATCTGCACATACTCACAAGCACCACACCTACCCAGTGACCCTTTAGGGCAGGGCCTCTCCACTGTCTCGCCCTTCAGGGTGGGGGGCCACTGTACGCCTCGTGCGACACGACCCTCACATCCGCCCACCTGACCGGGACCCCCAGGAGCCAAGGGGACACGCAGAGGAGGGCGTGGAGTCAGGGGGACCATGGCTGTGATCGGCCGCTGGTCAAAGGGCCCTCGATTGATGACGCCAATCGGGTGAGAAGCTGACGGCCGCACCGGGGTCAACGCGACAGTAGCTGTGTAGGAGCGGACGGTCGTCATCAGAGACGAGAGGGGACCTGAAGGGACAAAAACACCGGTAACTCTCTGGATTCATCACATATGTCCAATTCCACATCTGCGCTTGCTCTGCAAACCTTTAGTGGGCGGTGGCGGAGTGAACTGTAGCGGGTATCTCAGCACGTAATAGTTATTCCACACGTACAGCTGGTTGTCTCTGGGGTTGTAGTCTATGGAGGAGATGTACTGGTAAGGGTTGGGGAATGGTATCTGAACGGGCAGCTCCTGTCCACGGCTGGTGTCGTAGGCGTAAACCACCATGTCGCTGCCAGCCCGGCCGTCCGCTTGCCCTTCATCATCCTGGAAGACGGAACGAACGGCGTAGAGCACGCCACAGGCCATGAAGGCGTTGCTCGCCCCACGTTTGTCAAAGCCTGTGGCCCACGTACCCTCAAAGCGCAGGGTGTACGGGTTCACCTGCAGGAGAAAGAGGAGGAGAAGGAGAAGACATAGGAGATGAGAGAACTGAGCTATTAATGAAACCCTTCATTTCCCCCTCTTTCCAATCATTGATCTGCTATCATTCCGCCTACCTGGCTGACCACAATGCGTCCATTATTGGCTTCAGTAGAGTAGATCACCCAAAGGCCGTTCTCGTCCACTGCCAGATCGATGTCTGACTTCCCTCCCCAGCGGTAAGGCGAGGTGTCATGGTAGTTGGCATTGACCACTACTGCCTCGCCACTCTTTATGCGAGTCCGCAGGTCATACTTGACCAGATTGCGCGTCCGCTCCTTGTTGTAAAACACGGCGCCGTCATACACCACAAAGCCTGTACCGTCCACACGGCTAGGCAACCTAGGACACACAGTGATAGAAAATATGTAGTCCATGTACCTATCTACATGTTTTAAATAAATAAGTTATTGATATTATTAACTGAGAAAAGTTAATTAAAGGCCCTACTCACTTATAGGTGGTGGTGATTCTGTTTTGGCGGTAGTCGTCCCAGGAGGCGTACTCATACAGCACCTCTGTCCTGTACGGTGTCCATGGCATGACGTACAGCCTGTCACCAGCTTGCAACGGGTCCTTACACCATGCACCTGACTGATGCTCCGCCTCCAGGAGCGAGGATGCGGGCTGGATGCTGAGCAGTGAGCCAGGACACACGAAAACTGGAAGACGGGAGTTAGGAAGGGTAGCAGGATGTAAGAAGGAAGAGAAAGAGGGAGGGAAAAGAAGAGCAGGGAGGGACGTGAGAAAAGAGTGGAACGACGAGTGGAGGCAGGTGCGGGAAGAAAATTGATCGATGCATGAAAAATGGATTGCGTTAGATGCAGTTGGTGCGGCGAGAGTAAGAAAAAAGAATGAAGAGAAAAAGAGAGAGGGATTTAAAACACCTGTGCTGATCTTGAGAGGCAAGCAACAGAAGAGACGTAAAAGTGTACTCACACACTGTTAGTGTGTGTGTGGTGAGTAATACAACAGGGACACTGCAATGAAAGGTGTGTGAGTGTATTTGTGTGCTTTGTGTGTGATTGCATGTGTGTGTGTGTGTGGGTGGGTTAGTGCAAAAAGAGTGAAGAGTGTGAGGTAGAATCAGGGACGCAGAAGGCGGGGCTAAATTTTGCCTTGAAGTGAATGAGAGGGCAAGTTAGTTACACCGAGCACAACAATTGGTCCACCCACATGTCAATAACTGTATGGACACATATGTATACTGTACAGTCTCACACTGGCATGCAAATAGGCATGCACACACACTCACACACATAAGCAGTGCTTGGTAAGCACACATCCAGACGGATATACAATCACACACATTTGGTCTTATTTTTCCTATGAAGATAAATAAGGGGCTCTTCCTATAAGGGAAGAAAAGGGAAAATAAGCATGAGGAGGATGAGTGGACAAGAAAGAAAGTCAGAAAGAAAGAAAGAAAGAAAGAAAGAAAGAAATAAAGAAAGAAAGAAAGAAAGAAAGCGTGCTTGTGTGTGGACAGGAAATAGAGCAGAGAGAGGGTAAAAAGAAGATTATGTTTATGTTTGTGTGCGCAGAGAGACCGAGGGAGAGGAACAAGAGACAGAGAGATCGACCAGGAGCGAGAGAGGAAGAAACTGGAGAGAAATAGAAAGAGAGACAAGAATAAGAGAGACTAGGTGCAGAACCTGGATAAAACTGGATAAAAGGACGGGTTTCCATACAACAAGAGATGGATAAAATGGGGAAAAAAAAGAACCGAGTAGGAAATGAAAAAAGGGGGGCAACATCCAGCATGACTACGAAACAACGTCCTAGGGTAAGAGGAAGAGAGAAATGGTAGGAGAGAGGAAGAGAAGGAGAGGAAAGAGAGGGGTTGGGGGTAAGGAGAGATCAAGATGCTACAATATATTGTCTTTACCTTTTTGGTCCACTTCTACTCAAGCATAGGAAAAAAAAGAGGGAGAGAAAGAAAGAGAAGTCAGAGGGTGAAAGAAGGGAAGTAAAGAAAAGCAAGAAAGCAAGCAAGAGAGAAAGGAAAGAGAGAAAGCAAGCAAGCGAAGAAAGAAAGAAAAAGAAAGAAAGACAGAAAGAAAGAAAGAAAGAAAGAAAGAAAGAAAGAAAGAAAGAAAGAAAGAAAGAATTGCACAGATAAAGACTTTGGAACTCATTCTCACCACAAACATTATAGTTTACATAAAAGAAAAAAGAACCACAAAAGAGACCCAGCATACTCCTCTTCTCTCCTCTCCTCCCCTACCGCCCCATCCTCCCCCTTTCCCTCCCTCCACCTCCCCTGATCTCTCCTTCCCTCAATCAGGCTCCTGTGGAGAAAAGAGAGCAACTCCTGTGGCGTGAATCTGGAAAAGAAAACACACGCATGCACGCGCAAGTGCATACGCACACTCTCGCATACACACACAGAAGACATACAGTATGCAAATGTCCTACAGTTTCTCTCTCTGTACTTTCTCCATCCAACTTTCTTTTTGTATTTTACACACACAAACACACACACACGCACACATGCACACAAAAACTCCCTGAGAAAAAAAAATCTTTTCTATCCATCAATCTCTCAGGGAAACAGTTGACATCAGAGGTTATAAGAACAAAAAGACACACCTAAAATGTAGCTAGACAAAAATTGGTTAAATTTCTGTGTTTTGCGTGTACATAGACATATTTGTGTGTAATCCTGTTTGTGTGTATATGTATGTGTTTGTGTTTATGTGTGTGTTTATATACATATATATATATATATATGAATACTCACTGTAAGGGACACACTCATACTGGATCTCCAGGTACTTGTATGTTCCAGGACAGGGGTCTGGGAACACGTCGACCCCTGCGACCACCACACACTGAGTCCTGTTGTTACACCTGGAGAACAGCAGATGGATGGATGGATCAGTGAAAGGGATGATGGAGTGAGAGAACAAATAAGGGAGGGAGAGTGATTAACAGACAGGAAAGGGGAAGCAAAGGACAATCCATTTGTCTACTCTCCCTCTCCCACTCGGTGAATATTGATCAGTTCTTCTAGGAAAACACCGCTGAGTACACAGCTAATGGTGCAGCCAGGCACTCAGACTCAGATGGAGAGATTACTGCACTTGCATGTACACGACTTACAATACAAGCACTGGCTTCGTCTAACGTTTCCTCTGACATGAATCCACATGTATGTTGTGCAGCAGTGCACACATGCTGCATATACGAAACCGTAGATGGTCTCATTGATTAGTTGAACTGCTTTCAAAAAACTGCCACATCCTCAAAATAGCAAAAGAATTACATGACAATATGTGTCTTTGCTAAATAATTCAAGCTATTACATAAACACAGTAAACAGTGGATGTATAACCCAGCGCACACACACACCTCTGGGCCATAATCTTCAGTGCGTCAGGGAGGTAACACTGTGTGTTCTCCATCTGGAAGGGGTCTGCGTCACATATCTTGTCGTCGGTGCGTCCGTAGTTGGCAGTTTCCACCATCACGACGTCACTTCCTGGGCAGCGTAGCTCGATGGGGTAACCCTCGCATGCCAGCTCCCTGCGCAGCAGCCCGAACGGCATAGCAGCCCGGGACATAGCTGCCCATGAGGGACAGAGGTGGGGAAGACGGGAGGGGGGTGAGGCAGAGGTTGAAAGATGGGAGTAGGAAAAAGACAAGAAATAAAAGAGAAATTTTCAAGAATGTGTAATTATATTCTACAGATTTCACTAGGTTAGTGAATGTCTTGACAGGATCTTTTCATAGGGGTATACTTGAAACAAAAACCTAATTAAGTCGTGATTAGTTTGTTTGAGTAAAGTCTGTTAGAGTATTAAACGATTCATTAGCATTACTATGTAATAGCATTACCTTATATCGCACATTATTTTACCGCAGCGGGATCTGGTAACTGTCAGGGTACCATCACTTTTATGGTTTTGAGTCATAGTCTCTTATGTTTTTATTACCCTTATTGATCAGTTTCAAACTTCATGTTTTATTGAAAATAAATATTATTTCTACTCACTGTTTGTTGAATCTGGTTATTTTCTTCTCAAAAATTACGAAGTAAGGCTTGCTGGGAAATCCTAATCTGACCGATGAGCTCGCTGCCTGGTCAGACTAGTGCGGACTAGAGAGACCAATACATGATGAACTGATGAAGCCGCTTGGATAAGAGGCGAAACGTCTTCCACAGGCAAATACAAGTCCAGTTGCCTTCGATTTAATTTGAGAGAGAGATCGCTGCCTGTTACATTACTTTTTTTTCAACCGTTTAGGAAGAAGCGAGTTTTCTTCAGCTAATGGACGATTCAGTTAGTAGCAAAATGTGTTGCAAGCCCAAACAAGAAGCGACGCACAGAAAAGGAAGTATAGAAGAAAACATGAGGACTTTACTGCTGAATTGACGACATTCAATACGTTTTTACTGACTGTGCTATAAATTCATCGAATGCTAGCAATGTTGACGTGCAGCCGGAGGCTAACGTTAGCTGGATTAGCTACACTCTCAATAGAAAATAACAGAGGCAGGAATTTGGACTTCAGCCGTGATGTTAATGACTTTGCTGAGCGCGGGGCCCAGTGGATGAACTCCTAATGGGTAAGCAAGTCTCTCTTTTTTATGGAGCAGGATCGGGGATTTAAATCCACAGCAATGTCATTGTTACCTCCCATGCTGGTAAATGCGCAACTCTGTAATCTGTGTGTGATAACGTGTGGCTGCTGTGTCATTGATGATGAATTCTATAAATTCAAGTGAATGTGTGATCCATTCACTCATACTGTGTAGACCTATTATGAGTTGTTGTGCTTTTCTTGATGGCTATTTCTGAAGTGCTTACCGCCACACTGTAAACTAGTTTTGTGTTGATTTGTTAGTGTTAGCTGGTTTAAGCTAGTTGAGATGTTTCAAGGTTGATGTGGTGCTTTGAGTCCAGGATGTTAGAGTACTGTTGATAAATTTGACACTAAGACTTCTTGCCCATGCACAAGAAAAATAATTGCACCAGGGTTGACGTGCAGCCGGAGGCTAACGTTAGCTGGATTAGCTACACTCTCAATAGAAAATAACAGAGGCAGGAATTTGGACTTCAGCCGTGATGTTAATGACTTTGCTGAGCGCGGGGCCCAGTGGATGAACTCCTAATGGGTAAGCAAGTCTCTCTTTTTTATGGAGCAGGATCGGGGATTTAAATCCACAGCAATGTCATTGTTACCTCCCATGCTGGTAAATGCGCAACTCTGTAATCTGTGTGTGATAACGTGTGGCTGCTGTGTCATTGATGATGAATTCTATAAATTCAAGTGAATGTGTGATCCATTCACTCATACTGTGTAGACCTATTATGAGTTGTTGTGCTTTTCTTGATGGCTATTTCTGAAGTGCTTACCGCCACACTGTAAACTAGTTTTGTGTTGATTTGTTAGTGTTAGCTGGTTTAAGCTAGTTGAGATGTTTCAAGGTTGATGTGGTGCTTTGAGTCCAGGATGTTAGAGTACTGTTGATAAATTTGACACTAAGACTTCTTGCCCATGCACAAGAAAAATAATTGCACCAGGGTCAATCACAATGATGTTACACTACAGAAGTTGGGGGACAGAGTTTAAACAAGACGAAGAGTCGACAGCCATGTTAGGCTATGTGAAGTTATACTTTTGCACAAGTGGTACTTTGAGCTAAATGCTAAAGTCAGCGTGCTAATAAACTCACAGTAACAAAACTAACATACTCACACTAAACCCCAAAATTACCAAATTCTTTTGCAACCCACCCAATAGTTTTTAAGATATTCTGCTGACAACAACAAATGTGAACCTCGTGGTGTCAACGCATCACCAAAGTAATTAGGATTCATTATCAGGGCACCATAAATGTCTGTACAAAATTTCATGATAATCCATGTAACAGTTGTTGAGGTATTTCAGTCAGGACTCAGTGGTGGATAGCCATCTGGCCAAATTGCCGCAGAGGCTGAGCTATCCTGACTTCCTATGTATGTGGCTGTTATAAATTTGTGGTCTAAAAGCCTGGGCTGAGCAAACACTGATGACATCATCTGGGTTATTTTTGCAGACTTTAAAAAAATCCCTCGAAAGACACTGTGACATTATAAAACCATTTTTCCCAGTCTGAGAAGTACACTGATGATAAGGATACATAGCGTTATATGTAAAATCATTTGAGTTTCCCTTTGATCACCTGTCTTACAGATGAAATCAACCATGCAACATCATGAGCTGGTATGTTGATACACACACTAATAATTCCCCAATTATATACGAAATGTCACAAATATCACACCTTACACTGATTGCCTCAATCAAATCATGCCCATGCCTGTATTTGATGTAAGCACTAGATAGTTGAAACACACCGAACATTCTGGCACTGCCAGCACTGTGTGTTGTTTAATTTAATCTTTGAAATGCACATGTGTGAAAGCTTACACTGGAAGGATCCCCAGATGCAGAGAGAGTGTGATTAATGACATAAATCACACCGCACCTCCACTGTGACAACTTCATGCGATGCGATGCGTAGGTACATCACAATATCTTGTGTTTTCAGTCAGTGGGGAGGATGAAGCTTATACTGGCTGTCAGATGCTCGGTAAATGCAGAATGACAAGTATAAGACTTTTATTTTCTTTCATTTGAAAGCTGGATCTCTCTCATCCACACCTCTGTGTGCAAAGTCACCTGACTGTTATATTAAGCCATGTAAACCAGGGTTATTAGAGAAAATCACATTACCCTACTTTAATCCGGTTAAGATGATATTCACATCATCTGGAGTATCATGCACACGTGAAAAGGTTTTTGCTGTATCAGGATTAAACCCAGCCAAACACGTCAGTGTGATCAGTATGCTGCCTGTGCACTCTAACTGTCTGTGGTGCTGAATGACTTGATTGCTTCTGAAACACTCCCTTTGGCAAGCTGTATACTTCAAATGTTCAACTAATCTTTTGTTCATTTAGGTCACAGCATTTCCCAAACTTTGCCAAGATGACTTTGCCTTTCTTTGGAGTCAGTGGGCTGAGTTCATCTTCACGTCTTGCAAAAACAATGACTTATATTTGAGTAGCAAATGAGCATGATCTATAGCTCTATTGCTTTACGATTTTTGTGATTTAACCTGCTGATTGGTGTGTCAGGATCGACAACTCAGTGCTGTGACGCTTACCTTGGCTGGAAGGGGCGACATGAGCCAGACTGAGCACACACACCCCCAGGAACCACAGTGACACAGCCATGCTGGGCAGGAAGAGTTAGCGCGTCACACCACCAGCCGTGTTAGGAGAGCCTGAAGAGAAAGTAGTGGAAGTGTGAGATTGAGAGTGAAGAGCTGCACCCTCTTCTCTGTGTGCAGATCATTGTGTGTGTGTGTGTGTGTGTGGATGTGTGGGTGTGTGTTGGATGGTCAATATCACACGCTGACGATGCAAGAGTGCACGTCAGAAAACACAGCAGGGTGGAGGGACAGAATAATAGAGAGACAGACAGAGAGGAATAAGAGAGAGAGAGAAATAGAGATAACAACTGAGCAATCGGTGCAGTGAAAAGTCTCTCAATCTGGTGTTACCATGGTGATAGCACAGTGCAGTCCGAGAGAGAGGGAGAAAAAGAGAGAGAGGAGATATGCTGTGTGTGTGTATCTGAGTGTGTGTTCAGGAGGGAAAGCGCACGCGTGTGAGTACGTGTTTTAAGTCCGTAATTAGCCAGGAGCAACAGTGGCCACTGACCCATAAAAGAGTCTTAATCTTTCTATCCACACACACATTCACACACACATCCGCACACAGGCAGAGGGCCAGGCTCAGCTTAGGCCACTTTTCAGTAATCCTAAATAAATAATGTTGTGGAGACAAGCTCCTCCCCAGCAGGGCAGGAGTAACGAGGTAAACAGCTGACTGAGGGCTGAGCGTAGGTGATCAGAGGGCGATGCAGTGCTGTGGAGTTTCATGAGTGAACATATGGACGAGTTGTAGAATCCTCAGCTGAATATTGGTCTTACTCTGACCTGACTGTTTACGGTCCTTTGAATTTGAAATGTGTAGTCAAAATAATCTTATGTATTCAAATTAAATATTAAATATAATATAAAATAAATATCCCCTACCATTAATGTAAAGAAAATGTATACACAGTGTCTCTGGATAAACAATAGCAATTTAGCTAGCTTACACAAGGAGACTGTATCGCTTGGACACCCTGTATTCTTGCTAAGTGGAAAACGGATCAAAGCAGTCCGTTCCACAATAGGTGACTGGTGGTGATGGATCTGCATGCTCTGGCGGCATTTGTTGTTGTTCTGCGAATCTCCTGAGTTTCCAACATTTAACACACCGATGCACACAATCTGCGACTGCTCCACCGAAACCTGGAATCTAGTATTAATTTGATCTAATCTCATTGATGGTTAGACCTTACCTTGATGTTGGACCTGCTGATGATAATGAGCTATTATCATTCTGGTAATGTCTCTGTGAGGTAGGGAGAGATGTGTTTTCCAGTCATCTTTCCACCTTGAGGAGCCCTTCTTGGTCAACAAACGTATCCATATGATACAGTTTACTCCGAGATGGGAGTTCCCTTACCAAGCAACTTGGTAATCTCCTCAGGATACACTTTATCTGTAAGTCTGTCTTTCTGTCACCCCTGGTCAGTGCTGTGGCCCTTTGACTTGTCACTTTTGTCATGCTGGAGGATACATGAAACAGCTTTTGTGACTTTATACCATGAAGAAAACTTTGACAAGCGTAGTTCGTACATTTAGTATCAGAACCCTTTTGACTTCAGGGTTTCCAATTGAGGTGTCTGTGATGATATCTGCAGCTGGAGATACCTGTTTCTCCCATAAGAACTGAGGCCCTGTAAACCAGTTTGATGTAAGAAACTCACTTGTACTTGAACCTCTTGAGGCAAGGTGTGCAGGGTTTTTGTCAGAAGGGGTATATCTCCACTGCTGGGGAGTTGTGCAGAGATGTATCTTCTGTATCCTATTTGACACAAACGTGTGGAAGAAATGTGGAGCCAGTCCAGAAGTATTCATCGATGTCTTGAAACCAAGCTGCTCCTTTAGGATATTGCTTGCTGAAACTGAGACAACAGCTGCTGTTAACTCTAACCTGGGGATTATTGTGACCTTAATAGGTGCTACTCTGGAGTTTTCTATAACAAGGGCACATTTTTTCCATTCTCCTGCACTTGTCTTCAATACAAACACTGGCCATAACCATGTGTGCTTGCATCAGAGATGTGGTGTAGCTCTCTTCTCAAGATTTGCCCAAAGTCAGCCGGCACATAGCAACAAGGTATGTTGATTTTCTCCAAATTTGCAACATAACTTTTTCAGCGTTGCAACACTGGTTGCAGTTCACTGAGGAGCACGGACTCCCAGCCTATGCCATTCCTACACATTTCTTGCAGCACCTTTTTCCCAGTGAGTCATAAACTAGCAGCAAACCCCAATGGGTCATAAAGGGAAGCAACTGTGGACAGTATGTCATGCCTCATCTCTGGCTACACGGTCCTACAGGCAGATTTGAAATCAGAAGTTTCTCCAATGTTGGCTTTACTTCAGTGGTACACTCCAGTAGTGCTATATTCTCTAGCACCTATCTGTTGTTACACACAAACTTGTGCAGTCTCAGACCACCCATTGACCATGGTGGGGGATATACCTCTTAATACCACTCTTAACTGAACCAGAAAATGGCTAGTTCCTTATTATTTGGACCTATATTCTTTGAAGGGGGTGGCCTCAGTTCAAATTGCCCTCCAGACAGCAACAGACAACCTTGACAATCATGCTCAGTCTCATCAGATTACCATGAGTATTCACCATAAATCAAGTTTCCAAAGGACAGCATCATCTCTGGGTACCGACACTCCGGCAGCTCAGCCACTGACTGCATCCTGAGCCTGGTACTTCCTTTGGAAACTTGTGACGGTTGTGCTGATGCAGGCAGCATGGCAGGACTCCATCACCTGGCCTTTGCTGATCTTCCTGCTCTCATGCTGCATTTATCCGCCTGCGTCGAGCTGTGCTCAACACTTTCATCTGCACCAGCCTGGCCTACTACTCCAGGCTTGGCTTCCCAATTCTACAGTATAATCATGACAAGAGATTCCCTGAGTCCAAGGTTCAGCAAATTTCTTCGTGTTGTTGCCTTTGCCTACCCCTACCTGTTCGACAACATTCCTCTGTTCTACAGGGTACGGACACCTCTGTGCACTTCACACATCTGCACATTCATCCAAGGCGCATCTAAAAAGACACAGAAGAGTGTGTGTTGTAGTTTATAATTGGGTCCTGAATTTGGAAAAAAAACAGTCCAATATAGGGCCCAAAATTACCTTGGATAGTGGAAAAATATTGTATGTTTCCTATTGGACAACAATTTAAAGACAGATCTATAACAGGAATGACTTTCTCTGCTGAACACAAAACAAAATCCTCCATTGTTTTAGGATTGACTCTGGTGCTCTGTGTTCACATTCAAAACACATTACTTTGTATTAATGTTCATGATGAGTGTTATCTCAGATATCATATGACTTAATGTATGAATATGTCAAATGCACATAAAGGTTACACAAGTTAAAAAAAAAGAAAAAGAAAAAAAAGAAGGGCGTGGTGATGAGTATTCTCATGAACACCATCCTTTCACATATTCCAGAAGAGGATGTTATCCTGAGAAACAGTCTTGCCATGATTACTGGCATCTTTGAAGTCAAACTCAAGAACCTTGATGGCATCTGATGGAGTCACAGAGGAAGATCATTAACAGCACGCAGCAAGCAGTACATGTTGGTGAAGCTTGCTGAGTCATGGTGAGGTGATGAACAGCCTACAATACTCCTGTATTGGATCTGTGTGAACTGTATGGGGTTTGTTATCTCCTCCCAGGATTACTTGCTGTGGTGTCAGTGCCCTATTAAAAGACCAACTTCACACTCTAGTTGTAATGGACTTTCATCTGCTGTTGTGCTTAGATGTTTCACAGGTAGGAATGTGTGTTCGATTTACTGGTATGCAATCTTTGGTGTAAGAGATCAATGAGGTGTTGTTGTAACCTCGCACTCTGAGACCTGAGACCCTTTCACTGTGCATTAATGCATCCTTTCCAACCATGGTAGTTAGCTTCAGCCTTACAGGATGTGCTTTGGTTTGCAGGCTATGGCTAACTTCTGGGGGTCCAGGTCCTTTCCACATTTGGATTGCTGATGGAAATATACCCACACCGGTACAATCATGGAAGTGTTGGTAGATGGCTCCTCAGTCTCCACACTGAGAGACAACGTGGAAGCTGCTTCATCTATGGTGCTTTGATCAGAGGCTGACACTGGTTTGGCAGCTCTCGACATGGAGAGAGGTTGGATGTCTTCCTTTACAGGTGTCACATGAGTGTCTGTGCCGGCAATCTTTTTCACTATGGCCTGGTTTGAGGCAACGATAGCAGCCTGCTTTCCTTCCACACATCTTCATCTGTCATCCAGAGATTTCCCTCTGAACTCAGGACAGCTGTGCAGGTGATGTTTCTTGACAGAGCAAGCATGGACTTTGAACTTGTCGTTGACTGCAGTTGATTTTTTAGTCTCTGCAACACTGAATTTTGTCTTTATTTTTTTTAAGATGGTGTTTCTCTGTAGGTGACTGATGAGCGGAGGTAATAGGATTACAGACAATCTCTACTGCCATTAACATGAAGGTGACAAAATCCTGGAAGTTTGGAAATTCCTGCTTGTCTTTCATAGCTTGTGTGACTTGGCAGTTTCACCTTGATGCTGCCCGGTCAGGTAACTTTTGAACCAACTTTTGATTTTCTTCACAGTCATTCAAATATCAAGACCTTTAACACGAGGCTTCCTGACATGCATGTAGAAAATCAGCAAATGTTCTCAATCCCTCAGCATCCTTTGAGTGGATCTTTGGCCAATTAGCCAGTTTTTTCCTGAATGATCTCTTTGTAAAGAAGGGCTGACCATTCCTGTAGTTGAGACAGTTCCACGAATCTGTATAGGGTTCGTCATCATTTCTATAAAAATTGCCATCAAGTGTCTTTTCAGCAGGACCTCCTACATACTTTCTCAAATAATGAATGTCTCGTGTGTGTGTGTGTGTGTGTGTGTGTGCGCACGCATGCATGCGTGTGCTCGCTTGTCAGTGTGCATGTGTGTGTACATATACATAAGTGTGTTTGCGTGTGTTTATTTGTGACTTGCTTTTCTCTCCGTCTTCTTGTTAGGTAATGATGGCAGACAGATTTAGGTCACTCCTCAACAAATGTCCAACATGCATAGCACAAAGACTTGTGCTTGTATGAGTCCAGCACACACACACACACACACACACACACAAACACACACACACACACACAGAAGAAAGAGAAAAAAGAGACCTCTGCCTTCTTTAAGTCCACTGAACCAACAAGACTGTAGTAATAAAAGCCCCAGGACCACCGTGATACAAACACACACACAAGCACACACAGAGACTCGGCAGAATAAGAACCTTTCCATTTTTTTATCACATACACACACATGCGCTCACACACAGATACACACAATACGTCTCATCTCATCCAAAACCCTTATGGCAGCATGTTCTTTTGCTTGCAACCCCCATTGCTCTCTCTCTCTCTCTCTCTCTCTCTCTCTCTCTCTCTCACACACACGCACACAAACCCTTAAGTGTTGATGCAGAGTAAGTAGAGCAAGGACGCTGATGGGCCTTGACAAAGCCACACACCCAGTCCCCCCTGTTTGCAGCACCATGCTCCCAGCCTGCAACCAAAATCCAGCCCCGGGCCACCAGCCGGCCTACTTGGAGGAGCATCAGTCTCTAAGTGAGAGCGTATGAGTAGCGGGCCTGGAGTGAAATAAATTACACACACACAGGCATTAATATCCATACATACCACAACCATATAAATGCAGTACACACAGAGACATTGCATTTATTGTACAATGTACCTTTACCACCTTAGATGATGTACTGAATGTAGCAGTCTTAATAGTGATGTGGTAGAAACAGAAAAATTAATCGACAAGCACTCTGGTGATTCAAATTCACCCCGTAATTCAGTGGTTTTCTCGTTTCAATTACCCCTAAGTATCGTTAAAGTTGTTTTATTATTCAAAGCTGCCCCTGCTCCAGCTCTCCACTGAAGCTGCATGATGTTTACAATGACTGAAATATTCCATGGTTTTCATCCCTGCATCATTCTATCAAATGGAAATGCTCTGGATGTTTTGTGCATAATTTTATAGACATTTCTCCACATTTCAGTCTGGCCTATTTGGTTTATTGGGAAACTTTTAAATCTTCTCTTTAAAATGAAGTTCTGTGGTATTGGACAGTGTTTGGCTTCACAGCATGAGTTTGTAATGACAGATGCCATTGAGCTTTAGGGGGTTAATTAATTTATGAAGGAAGACTGGCAAATATGTTTTGGCTCCAGCTTCTGAAACGTGAGGATTTGTTGTGTTTTTCTGTTTTATATCACTGTAGATTGAACATATTTGGGTTTTGAACTGTTGGCTAAACCATATATCTTCTTCCAATTTGGGAGTTTGTATTGGCCATTTTCACTATTGTCACGCTAGACAAAAGGATTAACCCATTGATGGAAAAAACAACTGACAGATGAAGTGATCATGAAAACAAAAACCTTAATGACAGAGGTCGATCAGGAGTCTGCCAAACAAATCCTGTGTGGTCTGGCTCCTGAAAACTTTAAGCAATAAATAAAAAAGAAAACTGACTGACTCACTGCTGTGGGAAGAAAATGATACCTGAAAGCCATTAAAGCCAGCCTGCTGGAAATCATTTAAACTGACATGAAATCATGCCAGATACAAAGATTCACACTGTTAGAGGTGGAGGCCATGAAATCAACGGAGAGAGATAAAGAGGGAGAGTAACCTCCCCCTCTTTTGGTCAGAGGGCTATCAGTGCCTCAGGGTGAATCGCTATAAAGCACAAAGTGACAAAGCAGCCTTAAAGTGTTATGTTCCTAATGGAAGAATGAATGTGTGTATGTGTTAGAGAGAGAGGAAGAGTGTGTGATTGAGAGAGAGCATTTAAGAAATGAGGGAGAGATTAGACTTCTGACAGCACAGTTAAAGCAAAAGCTTTATTGGCTGAAATACTTTTTAATAACAACAATGGCAAGAATTTTCTTGTCGCTGACGATAATATTTAAGGATTAAGAAAGGATTTTAAAACGCACTACAGTGCCCTCTGTGACTCTGAGCCTGTTTCAGACCATTGACCTCTACAGCTCCCAGAGGGCTGAGGCCTACATGCCGCAGTCAAAGCCACTTACGGGGTTTTTAGAGCCTGTATGTTTGTCTGGTCGATGTGTGACTCTGGGGAACGGAGGTGTCGCCCTCTGTCAATCATTCGCTTGTTGCAGGCAGGAAACAGGAGGAGGAAATTTGCTTGCAGATGTATCCAGACAATGTTTTTCATTCATGTCATTTTCAAAGTCATCCAGTGTTGTCAGCCATCAGTTCTCATATATTCCTCTAATAAAAGACCAAACTAAATGTGTAATACTAACATATAAAGATTGATAATAGCATTTATACCCTATGGAAGGCCAAAGGGCCAAAAACCCTTCCTGGCTTTCCATTCTTTTCTACATGTGCATAGACAGATTGTTTGTGAAAAGTCACTTGATATTTTAACGTGAAGAACTGAGTCTCTTGCAGGAAGGTTGATTAATCACTGATAAATTTCCTCACATATTTATCATGATTGTAATCCTGCCCTAAGTGCATGCTCAGTGTCTGCGAATCTCCAGGATTTCAAGAGTGTGTTTGCTCATTTATACTGTTTTGTTTTGTACCTGATCAGCATACAACGTGAAGCAGAGTAGTTGAAGTCTGTTAAAAATGCCCAACATTTTCTGGTTTGAGCTTCTGAAGGATTTAATGCTTTTCTTTGTCATAGGCAAGTGTTATAAAAATTATTAATTCATATTAAGTTTGTTTAAGTTTTTGCTAAAATCAACACTTACCAATTATGAGAAGATAAGCTCTACTGTAGCTAGCAGTAGTGACGTGTTTGCTGACATGAAATCATGGCGGTGCTGAGTGAGCATCTACAGAAAAGGACTGAACAGCCTCCTCCAGCACAACCCACTGTTACAACCTTCCCATTTTACTTTATAGTTGTATAACGTCTCAACCAGCCTGCAATCACATACACAAACTTCAAATAACTGACATACATTCATGTGTACATATGGGCATGGAAGTGTTGTGCTGTAAAACAGATTTGAAAAGAAGAAACAGCGTGATTCATCCTGTAAAAATAGCACATTGTGTTACTGTGATTAACCCTCACAGAACTCTGCTCTTAGTTTTCACAGTAAAACAGCAGGGAAACGCTGCAACAAAGGTCAGAAAGCTGTTGCAGTTCCTGGAAAATCTAAATTCCAATATGTGAAGTGACCGGGAACCAAATGTCTCGGTTAATTATTCTTATTGTGTTTTCTAATGCTTAACACATGACGCACATCTACAGTTGCAGTAATATATGAATGGTTTGATGCTGAATGCACGTTAAGGTTTGAGGATCTAGCACAAAAAAGAATGTGTATGTGAGCTTTTAGTCTTACAGCATTTTAAATGACTGCAGCATCTTCTTCCATCCTTAAAACCTTCACCTTTTTACTGAGGGCAACTTTCAGGGAAGTACAAAAATTTGTTTAGAGAAGTTGCATCCTTGAGCAATAGATGTAATCTGG